CGACCTGTTGGGTCAGAGTCATCATGTGGTAGAGTTCTATGTGAGAGGTATGATGGGATGAAAGGAGAAGCATGCGGATTCAATGTACTGATGTCACCATTTGCCAGACGAGTACCACCAAGATGGGAGGCTGACTGAGGAGGAGGAACACCATTGGCAGATGTCTACGCATGTGTAGCAAAAGGGCATGGAGGTCGATTTGTTGGGAGATTGGATCCAGCATAAATGGTAGCAAGGTGATCACGCATAGCATTAGCACCAGCTTGAGCACCGTCCACATGTAGATACCCTGATTGTCTTTGTCGCCTGGATTTGATCAACTTGATTTTTGACATAGCCTTTGAAAAGTCTTGCTTGAATAAAGATTCAACAGAATGCGTGCCACGAAACCTGTTTAGCTCTACGAAGGGGCTTGTTTAAACTTTTGATGTGCTTCCACATGTTGATTCCACCAATATGCCTTGTCCAATGAAGCGGGACAAACGAACGATATTTACGATAGAGAGCTTCACGATGATCACAGAGCCGTTGAAGATCGAGGGTCCAGAATTTCTTCCAAAAGTTGGGTTCGCTGGGATTGCCGAGTAACGGATTCATCCAGTGCCTGATATATACAATTGGTGAGATCACTGTTGAGGGTATCGATTGGAGGTTGTGTATCAGGTGGTGAGCGCACAAGCGAGATCAGCTGTTTTAGCAACGGTTGAGAGAGGGCTGTAAAGCGTTGTGCATACAAATTGCGTACATCCGTTTCTTGTAGACGTGAGAGCTTCCATAGGAGACGAGGTGATGGTGATGGCGTAGCAGGCATAGCAAGAGCAGGTTCGTTTGAGTGGTAATCAAACGTCAGAGACATCAGTTTATGATCAGATCCCAAAGACAAGTCAGAGTAAATACTAATTGAGGAGGAAGAAGGTGGAGATGAGGTATCCAGAGAGGCAAAGGAAAGTGATTCTACATTTGAGAATGTAGTAATCGACAATGCTACTTACATTCCGCCCACTACGACGGTCCTCAAAGGTAGGTGTAGAGTGGGCTAATTGACAGTTCAAAAACGTTTAATTGATTATCGGCACAGTACTCTTGAAGTAGACGACCACGGTTATTTGTAGAGGAGTCACCAACAAAGCTACCCATGCGGGCATTCAGATCGCACAGATGATTGTGTCATGATCCAACGGGATCGCATTCAGGATGGAAGAGACATTTCAGTATAGAGATCCGCTTGCTCAGTTGGTATATACAGACAAAATGAGCCGAAGTTCACGACCAAGTTGAATACCCAAAGCAAACTCTTGAAGAGCAGAGGGCAAAGGCGTCTGAAATGCTGTGAGGGGACAGGAAGGGTTGAATCAAGCATGTAATGCCACGAGAGCCACGACCACCGCCTGCGACAGTGACGCCAGGTAAGTGGAATTGCTGCCAATTGGTGGGTAGTCGGATGGGATGGCGGTTCAGCCATGTTTCGGTAATGAACAGCACAGAGAAGGATAGGCAATAACGGAGAACATCATCAATGGTGGTATCTCTGAGACCGCGAGCGTTCCAGAGGCCAATGGTGAGTGGAGTGAGTTGAGAAGCGCTATTAATGACTGGAGCCAAACTGTAGGAGGAGGAGGAGTAGTAGGTATAGTGTTATTGAGTATAGTTGGTATTGATGAGGACGGATTAGAAGCAGAGAGAGGATGGTCAGGGAGCGAGGAGGATGTATAATGACTGAGAGGACTCTCAATCATTAATACTCTTCTTCGTCGGAATCAGACATGTCAACATCAGATGAGCCAGAGCTTTTCTTGAAACCAGAGAGCCAAAGATGTTATTGACAGGGGCGACAGAATCAATGTATTCAGTGGTGGTCCAACCATTTTCCAAAAAGTGATTAGCAACAGAAGCAAAAGACGAGAACGACGATTGGCAAGGTAGACAAGAGACTTGGCACAACGATTGATTTGCAGGTCAAAGGCAGCATCCTCACGCTTAGAGAGGGACATCTCTTTAAACTTGGGGTCAGCGAGGTGTTTGGGATCAGTAGGATCAAAGCCTTCCACAACATTGATGTTGTTCTTGGTGAGAATGGAGACGAGGTTGTCCTTGTATTGCAAATGGACTAGGACGCCAATGATGTTTCTAGCAGGGAACGTTACATCAATGATACGAGAAGCATCAGCTTTGATCAGATGCAAGTTGTTGCGGACTTCAGTGCGAGTGAAGCGGCGAGAGCGGTTAAAGTACACCGTTGTGTAGCCTTTTGGCCCTTCAGGAGCCAAGTTAAAACCACGAGTAATAGCTTGGCGATGTTTGTCAGTTACATCGGCAGGGTTGCGAACCTTTTTGGAACGTTTGATTACTTCGGTCCAAGAGTTTGTTGGGAGTCTTTTTGGTGGCATTGGGTGCTTGTTGGGTGGACTGTGTAGCTGAAGAATGGGGTTTGGGTTGCTGTTGAATACCTGATTTGGGTTGCGCTTGAGTGGTTGTGGAACCTTGTTGAGAGTTGAGTTGCTGACGCAGACGCTCATTCTCTTGGGTCAGGGATTCATTTTGTTTTTGGAGATTCAAAATAGTGGTTTTCAAGGCATTTAGCTCTTGCAAAGCACTGTTGTGGGCAGAGATGTCTGTTGCATGGTCAATACTAGTCTCTGCAGATCCATCTGCGACATGAGAGTAGCTGGTGTATCGGTGTCCATTGTCATTGTTGATCGATACAAAGGTGTTGAGATGTCGAAAGAAAAATATGATGTTTTTTGTGGGTTTTTTCAAAAAAGATGAATATCTGTTCGATCGAGCTGGGGTTTTCACAGGTTATACTTCAAGTACTAGGCACTTAATGTATGCTCGTTTGGTGATTACTGCTTTGTTTACTACTGCTTGGATACACTTATTGGAATTTTTCTAATCACGTGGTACCTGAATTTTTGGCGGAACGTAATATAAAATTTCAAAAGCGAAAGAAAGGTGGGGATGTAGCTCAGTTTAATATTGGTTTTTTATTTATTTACAAATGTAGTCAACTGCGGAATCGGTATGATCATATGTTGCAAGACTAACAGTGATTCGGCGGGAAAAAGCATGTTTAAATTAAGGTTGAGGGGAGCTGCTAAAAGGGAGGGGACCAGTAAAGTAAACGGCATCAAAACCCACCAGAGAGGAGGAGAAACAGAGGGAGGAATAGCAATGGCCGCGCCGCAAGACGGGGGAGACGAACAGGACTCAAGGTAGAAACCGGCCAGACGCACCGCAGCACACATAAGTGCAAGCACAAATACCGAGTAACATGCCAGGTTAGAAAGGCGGAAAATATGGATGCGAAGGTGGGATTCGAAACCCACGACCTCTCGGCATACTCACTGCTTCCGCATGAAGCTCTAACCAAGTGAGCCATTCAAGCATCCATGGGGATGTAGCTCAGGCGAAAATTTATGGTTGTTTATTGATTACAATGAATTAGCAATGTAAAAAATATAGACTTATATGCATGCGATCTTTGATCATTAGTTGCAAGTCCTGAGAAGCGACGTACAGCAAAAAAGCTTAAATGATAGTTTGATCTCCATGCAGGAACAACATGCAAGTGTCCAGAAAAGGGAAAAAAGGTCCTAAACTAAAAACTAAACTGGTAAAAAAAGAAGTACAGGCAGGAAAAAAGGAGTAAAACAAGTGAGGATAAAAGGGTAGAGAATAAGAAGCTATGGTGTATGAGACATGCAATTGAGGATACCTCGATGTTCAGACAGCAGCACAGACAAAATAAACCCACAGACCTCAGTGGCACAAAAAAAGCAAGAAAAAAAAAGGAGAAAACGAGGCATTTGCATATAACAAAATGAGTAGAGAGACAAGGACCAAACGAGAAAGAAGCAGAGAAGGAGGACAAAGTGAATGCAGACACTACCACAAAGGCAGCAGAAATAGAAACAATGAGAGTGGGAATGAGAGAGCAAAACGATTTTAACAACAAGGTGTCAATCAGTTATCAGAAGACTCTGACATTTCAAGATCCTTGGTAGCAGAGAGAGTTGGGGAGACAGCATAAGCCAAGAGAGAGGCAGTTTCAGCATCATGATGCAAGAGGTAGCCAAGATAACTCAAACGTTGTTTCTTGGCTAAACGCTCTTGATCAGAGGATCGGGATGGTGGTTTAGCAGCAGCAGAGGAGGAGGAACGAGCAAGCATTTCTTCTTTCAAAATGGCATCAAATTGGGCTTGGTTGATGCGATCATACAAAAGAAAAGAACGAGCAACAGAAACACGGACAGAGCGACGGACAAAAGACAGCGAACGAAGGCAGCGAAGGTTTTCGACCTCAATGGCCTTTGGACACGCAGATCACGAGAGAGAGAAGCAAATTTGGGATCTTTGAGATTGACTGGATCACATGGATCAAAGTCAATCAACGGAGAAGAGCCACGACCATGTAGATGCATGGCTTTGGTGAGGGTGAGAACATAGTCGTGTGAACAAGGAAAGAAATCACATTCTGTACAGGATATTGAATATCCAGCACACGAGAGTTATTCAATCCTACGCCTTGAACAAGGCGACGCAGCTCAGAAAGACGACGGCGGACAGGAGTAGCATAGTACACAAATTGATAACCAGATGGTATATCACTTTGAGGAGCAAAAAGACGAGCAAGAGTAGCGGATGCCTTGGTGGCAGATGGAGGAGGACGAGCAGCAGGCTTCTTCTTACGCTTTGCACCTGCATTGGATGCAACGACGGCAGCAAAAGATGGTTGTGCTGTAAACTTGAGATTGGGAGTAGCTGGGGGTAGACTTGAGGCAGATGTTGTTGATGGTGGTGTTGGAGTGTTCGACGATACAACGTCTATGTGGTAAGAGCAACATTGGTGGTGGATTGAGCGTTGATAGCTGCCAATTGAGCCGCAAGGGCGTCTAGCAGCCTCTGATTCAGCCAGGGCTGTTTTTCAACTGCGCAATTTCAGCATGGGCAGATTCTAATCTGCTCAAACGATGTCTGACCTCAACATAAAAGGTCGACAACGCAGTTTGATCAGTGGCGAAGCAGGTGGGAGGGAGTGAGACCAAAGTCAATCGAGTTGGGGTCAACATCGATCGAAGATGTGAAATGAGATGCTTTGGAGAGGTCTTGAGGTTTGCATTTTCTTTGCTTTTAAATGTTGAGAGATATCACAGCAAAAGAAAGGTGGAGAGAGGGTTGAAATTTGGCCTTTTTTGACCGGACGAAAGGGTGTCAGCAAAGGTGTAATCTTATTAAAAGTGTTTTGCTCGTTATGGTATTGATATAGCAAGTACTTGATGAGAGATGATGGGTTATAGAATCTTCGATATAATTCGGGCTATGAAAGTATATAAAAATTCTTTAGCGGAAAGAAAGGTGGGGGATGTAGCTCAGGCGAAAATTTATGGTTGTTTATTGATTACAATGAATTAGCAATGTAAAAAATATAGACTTATATGCATGCGATCTTTGGTCATTAGTTGCAAGTCCTGAGAAGCGACGTACAGCAAAAAAGCTTAAATTGATAGTTTGATCTCCATGCAGGAACAACATGCAAGTGTCCAGAAAAGGGAAAAAAGGTCCTAAACTAAAAATAAACTGGTAAAAAAGAAGTACAGGCAGGAAAAAGGAGTAAAACAAGTGAGATAAAAGGGTAGAGAATAAGAAGCTATGGTGTATGAGACATGCAATTGAGGATACCTCGATGTTCAGACAGCAGCACAGACAAAATAAACCCACAGACCTCAGTGGCACAAAAAAAGCAAGAAAAAAAGGAGAAAACGAGGCATTTGCATATAGCAAAATGAGCAGAGAGACAAAGACCAAACGAGAAAGAAGCAGAGAAGGAGGACAAAGTAAATACAGACACTACCATAAAGGCAGCAGAAACAGAAACAATGAGAGTGGGAATGAGAGAGCAAAACGATTTCAACACCAAGGTGTCAATCAGTTATCAGAAGGCTCTGACATTTCAAGATCCTTGGTAGCAGAGAGAGTGGGGGAGACAGCATAGGCCAAGAGAGAGGCAGTTTCAGCATCATGATGCAAGAGGTAGCCAAGATAACTCAAACGTTGTTTCTTGGCTAAACGCTCTTGATCAGAGGATCGGGATGGTGGTTTAGCAGCAGCAGAGGAGGAGGAACGAGCAAGCATTTCTTCTTTCAAAATGGCATCAAACTGGGCTTGGTTGATGCGATCATACAAAAGAAAAGAACGAGCAACAGAAACACGGACAGAACGACGGACGAAAGACAGCGAACGAAGGCAGCGAAGGTTTTCGACCTCAATGGCCTTTTGGACACGCAGATCACGAGAGAGAGAAGCAAATTTGGGATCTTTGAGATTGACTGGATCACATGGATCAAAGTCAATCAACGGAGAAGAGCCACGACCATGGAGATGCATGGCTTTGGTGAGGGTGAGAACATAGTCGTTGTGAACAAGGAAAGAAATCACATTCTGTACAGGATATTGAATATCCAGCACACGAGAGTTATTCAATCCTACGCCTTGAACAAGGCGACGCAGCTCAGAAAGACGACGGCGGACAGGAGTAGCATAGTACACAAATTGATAACCAGATGGTATATCACTTTGGGGAGCAAAAAGACGAGCAAGAGTAGCGGATGCCTTGGTGCAGATGGAGGAGGACGAGCAGCAGGCTTCTTCTTACGCTTTGCACCTGCATTGGAATGCAACGACGGCAGCAAAAGATGGTTGATTTTCTGGAGACAAATTGGTGGCAGAGGTAGCATTGGTGCATGTAGTTTGATGCTGATGCTGTTGTGGTGGTAGTAGTGACAGGAGGTGGGTGGGATGATGATGGTTTGGGAGCCAGGCTAGTTGTAGTACCAGTAGCAGCCTGCAAGTTGGGCTTCGAGAGCGTGACGATCAGCTTCAGACTCTGCCAGGGCTGTTTTTTAACCGCTCAATTTCGACATGGGCGGTTTCCAGACGAGCTAAGCGATTTCGAACTCAATCATAAAGGTTGAAAGTTGCTGTTCACTCGCTGGAGAGGCAGATGGAGGAGTTGTTGTTCAAAATCAGTTGAAATGTTGATGATATCAACTGATGTTTGTGGATGATGGTGCTGAGAGGTTGGCGAGAGTGTCATTTTCTTTGTTTTCAACTGTTGAGTGAAATCTACAGCGAAAAAAGGTGGAGATCTTGAGGAACTTGGCCGTTTTTGACCTGGAGAAAGAGAGGACGCAGAGCTTAATGCCTGGTTTACTTTGGTGTCCGTCTGGAAATGATGTTCTTGCTATGTATTGTATGGAATTGTAGAGTTGGGTCAATTTTTTCAATATTACTGGGCTTCAATGTATTAAAAAAATTGGTTAGCGGAAAGAAAGGTGGGGATGTAGCTCAGTTTAACGTTGATTTTTATTATATACATGAATTCAATGGACACTCGATGGGAGCATTAGCCTAGAATTCTAGAAACAAAAGAGTAGCAGGTACAAAAAACCCTTATGGGGACACTAACTAAGAAAAGGGAAAAGGAAAGTGTGGTAGTGGCAAAGGAGCGGCATGAATACTGGGTATTGTTGATTTGATCTGGAGGAATGACCAACGGATGGGAACTTTGATAATTACTTGCCACCGTGGCATCGCACCGAGAAAGCAAAAACAACAAACGTTCATCAATGAGCAGAAAACCAGAGGGGATGTAGCTCAGTTTAACGTTGATTTTTATTATATACATGAATTCAATGGGGCACTCGATGGGAGCATTAGCCTAGAATTCTAGAAACAAAAGAGTAGCAGGTACAAAAACCCTTAAGGGGACACTAACTAAGAAAAAGGGAAAAAGGAAAGTGTGGTAGTGGCAAAGGAACGGCATGAATACTGGTATTGTTGATTTGATCTGGAGGAATGACCAACGGATGGGAACTTTGATAATTACTTACCACCGTGGCATCGCACCGAGAAAACAAAGCAACAAACGTTCATCAATGAAGAGACTATCTAGCAGAGAACCATAACAACCCTGAATCAAGATCAGCAGGGATGACAGCCAGCGGATGCACTAAACAATCAATGGCATGAAGCAGAGCAAGCAAAGCAGACCAATAAGATGGAGGACCATCAGAGGCTTTCACAGGTAAACAATTAAGGGCATAGTCTATACGATGAATACCAGGAGGAGCCACAGGCAGAGCATCGAGAAGTGTTCGATCCAGAGCACGGCATGTCAGAAAGTGATTTCGAGATATAAAATCACCCATCACGCACGGACACTCTTCACGCATGTTTGTGAAACGTCCAAGACGCCAGCGAACAAGGCGACTTCGAGCAGATCGACCAATTGGTAGGTACAAAATGGGATCTGGACGAGATACAGAACGACGACAAGCACGGAGGAGGGTCTGGGTACCAGAAACAGCAGCAGCAGCAAGTTGATGATCTACTTGATCTTGCCAATACGAATCAAAGACTTCAGTAAGACCAGCAGTGGTGAATGGCGGCGGATCAGGTAGTGTCAGATACAACGGGTTTTGACAAATAAATCTGTCTAGACGAGTGTACAGTAATCCACGACGAAGCAGAACCAACAAGCAATCATCAGGGAGAGTATCAGCACGAAGAGCATAACGTGTTGCCAGGACATTATATCGATGCTTCATGCTGGGAATACAGGTCAAATGTTTGGCAACATTGTACCATGTACTACCAACAAACATACCAACCAATCGATTTTGCAGAGCATCAAGAGCCTTGAAGTCACGGAAAGAGAGATGCGATATAGCTAAGCCGTATTCCAGCTTGGGTCGAATAAAGCTTTTATACAAACGAGCACAAAGCAACAGAGAAAACCCATTTCGATTGACACCAACCGAAATTCAACAATGCCATTGTCTTGATAGCACCAGAAGCACGCAGATTGAGAATCCCAGGGGCGTACAGACCTTTATATCTAAACGGCATACCAAGATACGTGAATTCCTCTACCACAGGAAGAGGTTCACCGTATAGAGACAATGGATGACGAGTAGAGGCAGTAGGAGCACAAAGTACAGCACATTTTGATGGTTTCCATCTGTAGCCAAGAGAGAACGAGTGATCTGAAGCGACATCCAACATGGTTTGCACATCAGTACGAGAGCCAAATATGGCCACATCATCAGCAAAGAGTAAACTATTGATATGAACAGGATGCATTCCGGGTGGAGATACCATAGTACCCACGGTTGACAGCAGCACGAAGAACAGCAGGCAGAGAGTTGATGTACAGAGAGTACAAGTGCGGACTGAGCACTGAACCTTGGAGTACACCAGTAGCAGGCGAAAAAGGGTCAGAGTTGTGGTTTGCAATCAGTACAGAGACTAGTACATCATCGAACATATTGATCAATAAACTAAGGATTGGACGAGGTAGTGAAGAATGAGCAAGAGCATCCCAAATAACGTTGCGATCCACTGTATCGTATGCAGATTTGATGTCCAGAAAGGCTACAACAGGATAGTGGTGATGAGTGAGGAAGTAGTCGTGCATCAAGTCATGTAAACAGAGGGCTTGATCCAGAGGACTACGTTGTGGACGAAAACCACCTTGAGCAACATCAAGTGCAGGCGAATGTTCATCAAGAGCAGGCATCAATGAAAATTCAAACAATTTACGCATCACCGAAGTGAGCGAAATTGGACGAAAGTTTGCAGGATCAGATACATCACCTTTCTTGTAAATGGGAAAGACCTGAGCATGACGCCACAATACAGGAGTGTACGACCATTGAGAGCAAAGCGTAAATAGCAGAGACAATACGGGTGCAATGTCAGATGCTAGAGCCTTCAGCATTTCAGCTTTCAGATGATCAGGACCAGGAGCTTTTCCATTTGGCAATCGCTTAATCAGAGAGACAATAGTATCAGCATCAAACAGATTTGTAACAGAGGGATCATTGTAGGGTAGATCCGATACATTCGGTTCAGGAGCAACAGGACGAGAAGCAGAGTTAAGGAGTGTACCATTGTATACAGATGCAAGATGTGATGCCATTGCTGTTACTGAAGCAGCTGGACCATCTGGATGGCTATAAGTAGCAGAGGATTCTTTGTTTCGCTTTATGCGTTTGATAGCAGCAGTAGCTTTAGAGAAATCCTTTTCCAGATTAGAGCAGAATGTGTTCCACGACTTTCTTTTGGCAGCCTGTATCAGAGAGCGAAAACGTCTAAGAGCAGTTTGATATATACCCCATGTTTCAACTTTGGCAAAGCCACTTGCCCATCGCCATCGACTATATGAGGCATCTCTTTCACGAGCTGCATCTTCAATTTCTTGTGTCCAGTACTTTTTCCAGTGACCAGGGCGACCAGATTTCACACCAATTGACCCGTCAAGAGATTCATACAAACAACAATTCAGAGAATCATTGAGTGCATCAATATCAGGACGAACTCCATCAGGAGCAGAGACCAAACCAGAGAGAGAATCAACCAAAGGAGCAACAGAAGATCGAAAGGATTCACGAAGCAAGCCCAATGGCCGCTTTTTCCTCAATTTCGAGAGCTTCCATTGTCGTCTAGGGGCCAAACCACCAGAGTTACCAGAACCAAGAGTATCATCGGGAGGGGGCACATACTCGAAAGTAAGTACCATCAGCCGATGATCAGAACCAAGGGACAGATCAGAGTCAACCACCAGTTGAGAATTCAACATAGCCGTCTCGCCAATGTTGGTAAGGAACAGATCAATGATGCTGTGTACCTCTTGTTGTCGCCGAAATGTTGTAAAGGTGGGTGTACCATAAGCTAGAGACTCATTGAGGATCGACAACGAAGCCTCCTCCATCCATGGTAGTAGAGAGTTACCACGGGGATTAGCAGTAGTATCACCTAGTAGAGATCCAAAGCGAGCATTGAAATCACCACAAAGGATTGTATCACTAGTTATAGGTAACGAGCGAAGGAGCGAGAGCACCTTATCCGAGGATAAGGGTGGAGGCAGATACACACAATGAACCGTAAGGGTGCCAACCTTAAGGGACAGAGTGTGAGGATTGTAAGACGGGAGTTGAGAGACAGAGAAAGGACAGGAAGGAGAGACAAAGGCTGTAACACCACCAGAACCACGGCCAAAAGCGCCAGGTACTTTTGTGCCATATAGATGGAATTGAGACCAGTCGGAAGGGAAAGAACCAGATAGAAGCCAAGTTTCAGTGACAAGGAGAACATGCGTATCCAATACATGTGAGAGGACATCGTGCACAACTGATTGACGGAGACCATTGGCATTCCAAAGGGAAAGAGAGACAGGAAAGGAGTGGACGGGGTTGTTGTTGATATGACTCTGATGTATTATAGAGCTCATTAGAGTTCCATAGCAGAGTCATTGCTGTCAGAAGCTTTTCTACGCTTGAGCAAGAATTGAGCCTTCTTGGGTTCTTTTTCAGCAAGGCGGCCCATGGCTTCGGAAACAGCTGTATCAAGTTCCTCTTGGGAAATCCATCCAGCAGAGACAAAGTATTTTCCAACACCACTGACATTGAGAGGACGAAGGAAGGAAAGAGTTTGCAGAGCACGAGTGTTTGTAAACTCGTAGATCAGTTGTTCTCGATCCGCAATAGCAAGGTTTGCATATTGGGGATCAGCAATGTGTTTGGGATCCAGAGGCTCAAAATTCTCGATGAGCTCAGCTTCGCACTTGTGCATGTAAGCAAGAAAAGTGTCGACATATTGGATATGGACCAGAACTCCAATAACACCAGAAGCAGGGAAACAAATGTCGAGAACACGACCAGTATCAACACCAACCTTACGGAGGGTAGCACGAACCTCAGAGCGCTGGATCTTACCAGATCTACCAAGGTAGACATATTGGTATCCCTGTTGGCCCTTAACAGCAGCAGATTGGAAGAGACGGCCAGCAGCAAGACGGCGTTTGGCTGTACGAACAGGATCGGGGCGTTTAGCTCCAGAGCGAGCAGCAGAGAGATAACTACCTTTAGTGGCAGTATCGGTAGCAATAGTGGTACTAGCAGTAGTAGCAGGATCTTGGGACTGTACGACCTGAGAGATGAACGGACGTTCCTGATCTACCTCAGGTGTAGGGGCTTGAGTAGTTCCACGTGATAGTTGGCCCTGTAATTCTTGAATTACCAGGTCCTTGGCCAAAAGATTTTTTTTTAGGGCTTGGTTTTCCTCTTCTAACTTGTTCATACGCTCCAAGAGGTGGTCATGTTCATGTACTTTCTCCTGAACTGAGGCAAGTTGCTGCTGAATGTGCTCAAGTAACATGGGCAACTGACTGATGTCAAAACCTTGTAGGCTTTGAGAGATTGGTGTAGTCATTTTGTGAAAAATTACTAGGATTCAAAGAAACTGGCAAGTTGTTCAACAAGACTGAAATTAATATACAATAAACTATGGATAAACGCAAGTCTACTGCTGTAATTTGGTATTGTTTGGTGAACTAGTTGTCGAGATAAACCGCTTTTATAGTGAGGAAATACTTTTTACCGGGGGAAGATGGCAAAAAGTGATGAAAAACGGAAAGAGATGGGGATGTAGCTCAGGCGAAAATTTATGGTTGTTTATTGATTACAATGAATTAGCAATGTAAAAAATATAGACTTATATGCATGCGATCTTTGGATCATTAGTTGCAAGTCCTGAGAAGCGACGTACAGCAAAAAAGCTTAAATTGATAGTTTGATCTCCATGCAGGAACAACATGCAAGTGTCCAGAAAAGGGAAAAAAGGTCCTAAACTAAAAATTAAACTGGTAAAAAAGAAGTACAGGCAGGAAAAAGGAGTAAAACAAGTGAGATAAAAGGGTAGAGAATAAGAAGCTATGGTGTATGAGACATGCAATTGAGGATACCTCGATGTTCAGACAGCAGCACAGACAAAATAAACCCACAGACCTCAGTGGCACAAAAAAAGCAAGAAAAAAAGGAGAAAACGAGGCATTTGCATATAGCAAAATGAGTAGAGAGACAAAGACCAAACGAGAAAGAAGCAGAGAAGGAGGACAAAGTAAATACAGACACTACCATAAAGGCAGCAGAAACAGAAACAATGAGAGTGGGAATGAGAGAGCAAAACGATTTCAACACCAAGGTGTCAATCAGTTATCAAAAGGCTCTGACATTTCAAGATCCTTGGTAGCAGAGAGAGTGGGGGAGACAGCATAAGCCAAAAGAGAGGCAGTTTCAGCATCATGATGCAAGAGGTAGCCAAGATAACTCAAACGTTGTTTCTTGGCTAAACGCTCTTGATCAGAGGATCGGGATGGTGGTTTAGCAGCAGCAGAGGAGGAGGAACGAGCAAGCATTTCTTCTTTCAAAATGGCATCAAATTGGGCTTGGTTGATGCGATCATACAAAAGAAAAGAACGAGCAACAGAAATACGGACAGAGCGACGGACAAAAGACAGCGAACGAAGGCAGCGAAGGTTTTCGACCTCAATGGCCTTTTGGACACGCAGATCACGAGAGAGAGAAGCAAATTTGGGATCTTTGAGATTGACTGGATCACATGGATCAAAGTCAATCAACGGAGAGCAGCCACGACCATGTAGATGCATGGCTTTGGTGAGGGTGAGTACATAGTCATTATGAACAAGGAAAGAAATCACATTCTGTACAGGATATTGAATATCCAGCACACGAGAGTTATTCAATCCTACGCCTTGAACAAGGCGACGCAGCTCAGAAAGACGACGGCGGACAGGAGTAGCATAGTACACAAATTGATAACCAGATGGTATATCACTTTGAGGAGCAAAAAGACGAGCAAGAGTAGCGGATGCCTTGGTGGCAGATGGAGGAGGAGGACGAGCAGCAGGCTTCTTCTTACGCTTTGCACCTGTATTAGATGCAACGACGGCAGCAAAAGATGGTTGATTTCCTGGAGACGAAGAGGTGGCAGAGGTAGCATTGGTGCATGTAGTTGATGCTGGTGCTGTTGTGGTGGTAGTAGTGGCAGGAGGTGGGTGGGATGATGATGGTTTGGGAGCCAGGCTAGTTGTAGTACCAGTAGCAGCTGCAAGTTGGGCTTCGAGAGCGTGACGATCAGCTTCAGACTCTGCCAGGGCTGTTTTTAACCGCTCAATTTCGACATGGGCGGTTTCCAGACGAGCTAAGCGATTTCGAACCTCAATCATAAAGGTTGAAAGTTGCTGTTCACTCGCTGGAGAGGCAGATGGAGGAGTTGTTGTTCCAAAATCAGTTGAGATGTTGATGATATCAACTGATGTTTGTGGATGATGGTGCTGAGAGGTTGGAGAGAGTGTCATTTTCTTTGTTTTCAACTGTTGAGTGAAATCTACAGCGAAAAAAGGTGGAGATCTTGAGGAACTTGGCCGTTTTTGACCTGGAGAAAGAGAGGACGCAGAGCTTAATGCCTGGTTTACTTTGGTGTCGTCTGGAATGGTGTTCTGGCTATGTATTGTATGGATTTGTAGAGTTGGAGCAATTTTTTTAATATTACTGGGCTTCAATGTATTAAAAAAATTGGTTAGCGGAAAGAAAGGTGGGGATGTAGCTCAGTTTAACGTTGATTTTTATTATATACATGAATTCAATGGGCACTCGATGGGAGCATTAGCCTAGAATTCTAGAAACAAAAGAGTAGCAGGTACAAAAAACCCTTATGAGGACACTAACGAAGAAAAAGGGAAAAAGGAAAGTGTGGTAGTTGCAGAGGATCGGCATGAGTACTGGTATTGTTGATTTGATCTGGAGGAATGACCAACGGATGGGAACTTTGATAATTACTTACCACCGTGGCATCGCACCGAGAAAGCAAAAACAACAAACGTTCATCAATGAGCAGAAAACCAGAGCGATCCAGGATCTGGATCTGGTGGGATCACAGCCAGAGGATGCACAAGGCAATCAATGGCATGCAACAAAAGGAGCAAAGCAGACCAAAAGTACGGTGGACCAGCTGAAGCTTTGTCTGGAAGACAGTTCAGAGCATGGTCAATGCGATGTACACCAGGTGGAGCAGGTGGCAAAGCATCAAAAAAGGTACGATCCAGAGCACGACATGTCAGAAAGTGATCTCGGGAGATAAACTCACCGGTAGTGCACGGACATTCTTCACGCATATTGGTGAAACGTCCAAGACGCCACCGCACAAGACGACTACGAGCAGATCGACCAATAGGCAGATACAGGATGGGATCTGGACGAGAGACAGACGGACGACAAGCACGAAGGAGAGTCTGAGCACCAGAAACAGCAGCAGCAGCAAGTTGACGATCTACTTGATCTTGCCAATACGAATCAAAGACTTCAGTAAGACCAGCAGTGGTGAATGGCGGCGGATCAGGCAGTGTTAGATACAACGGGTTTTGACAGATAAATCTGTCTAGACGAGTGTACAGTAAACCACGACGAAGCAGAACCAACAAGCAATCATCAGGGAGAGTATCAGCACGAAGGGCATAACGTGTTGTCAGAACGTTATATCGATGCTTCATGCTGGGAAGACAGGTCAAATGTTTGGCAACATTGTACCATGTACTACCAACAAACATACCAACCAATCGATTTTGCAGAGCATCAAGAGCCTTGAAGTCACGGAAAGAGAGATGAGATATAGCTAAGCCGTATTCCAGTTTGGGACGAATAAAGCTTTTATACAAACGAGCACAAAGCAACAGAGAAAAACCATTTCGATTGACACCAACCGAATTTAACAATGCCATTGTCTTGATAGCACCAGAAGCACGCAGATTGAGAATCCCAGGGGCATACAGACCTTTATATCTAAACGGCATACCAAGATACGTGAATTCCTCTACCACAGGAAGAGGTTCACCGTATAGAGACAATGGATGACGAGTAGAGGCAGTAGGAGCACAAAGTACAGCACATTTTGATGGTTTCCACCTGTAGCCAAGAGAGAACGAGTGATCTGAAGCGATATCCAACATGGTTTGCACATCAGTACGAGAGCCAAATATGGCCACATCATCAGCAAAGAGCAGGCTATTCACGCAAACACTAGGCATCCCAGGTGGTGATACCATAGTACCGCGACTGACAGCAGAACGAAGAACAGCAGGCAGAGAGTTGATGTACAGAGAGTACAAGTGAGGGCTGAGCACTGAACCCTGCAATACGCCAGTAGCAGGCGAAAAGGGAACAGAGGTGTGATTTGCAATCAACACAGACACGAGTACATCATCGAACATGTGGATGAGCAAACTGAGAACTGAACGAGGCAGAGAGGAACGAGAGAGAGCATCCCAAATCACTCGACGATCCACGGTATCATACGCTGATTTGATGTCTAGGAAAGCAACCACAGGGTAGTGGTGGTGGGTGAGGAAGTAGTCGTGCATCAAGTCATGTAAACAGAGGGCTTGATCCAGAGGACTACGCTGTGGGCGAAAGCCACCTTGAGCAACATCAAGTGCAGGCGAATGTTCATCAAGAGCAGGCATCAGAGAGAATTCGAACAATTTACGCATCACCGAAGTAAGCGAAATTGGACGAAAGTTTGCAGGATCAGATACATCACCTTTCTTGTAAATGGGAAAGACTTGAGCATGTCGCCATAGGGCTGGTGTATACGACCACTGAGAGCAGAGTGTAAAGAGCAGAGACAATACGGGTGCAATGTCAGATGCTAGAGCCTTCAGCATTTCAGCTTTCAAATGATCAGGACCAGGAGCTTTCCCATTTGGCAAACGCTTAATGAGGGAGACAAGTGTATCAGCATCAAATAGACCCAAATCAGCGGTGGACACATCATAAGGCAAATCAGAGAAATTGGACGGAGCAGCAAGGCGAGACGCATTATTCAACAGGGAGCCATCATAGACAGAGGCAAGATGGGACGCCATTGTGTTGACAGAGGCAGTTGGACCGTCTGGATGACTGTACGTTGCAGAGCATTCCTTGTTTCTTTTAATGCGCTTGATTGCAGCAGTAGCTTTCGAAAAATCCTTTTCCAAATCAGAGCAAAACTGATTCCACGATCGACGCTTAGCAGCTTGTACAAGAGAACGAAAACGCCTGTGAGCAGCTTGATAGAGATTCCATGTTTCGACTTTGGCAAAACGACTTGCCCACCTCCATCTACTATACATAGTATCTCTTTCACGAGCAGCATCCTCAATTTCCTGTGTCCAGTACTTTTTCCAGTGGCCAGGACGACCAGATTTCACACCAATTGAGCTATCCAGAGATTCATACAAACATTGATTCAAAGAATCGTTGATTGCATCAATATCTGGACAAACACCAGGGGGAGCAGACACCAAACCAGAGAGAGAACCAACCAAAGGAGCAACAGAAGTTCGAAAGGATTCACGAAGCAAGCCCAAAGGCCGCTTTTTCCTCAATTTCGAGAGCTTCCATTGCCGTCTAGGGGCCAAACCACCAGAGCTACCAGAACCAAGAGTATCATCGGGAGGGGGCACATACTCGAAAGTAAGTACCATCAGCCGATGATCAGAGCCAAGAGACAGATCAGATTCAACCACCAGTTGAGGATGTAACAGAGCAGCCTCGCCAATGTTTGTAAGAAACAGATCAATGATGCTATGAACCTCTTGTTGACGTCGAAAAGTTGTGAATGTGGGTGTACCAAATGCTAAAGACTCATTGAGAATGGAAAAAGAGGACTCCTCCAGCCATGGCAGTAGTGAGGTACCACGAGGATTAGCATTAGTATCACCCAGTAGAGATCCAAAGCGAGCATTGAAATCACCACAAAGGATGGTATCACTGGTTACGGGTAACGAGCGAAGAAGCGAGAGCACCTTATCCGAAGATAAGGGTGGAGGCAGATACACACAATGAACCGTAAGGGTGCCAACCTTAAGGGACAAAGTATGTGCATTGTAAGACGGAAGTTGAGAGACAGAGAAAGGACAGGAAGGAGAGACAAAGGCAGTAATGCCACCAGAACCACGGTTAAATGCACCAGGTACTTTAGAGCCATAGAGGTGGAATTGAGACCAGTTAGTAGGGAAAGAACCAGAGGTTAGCCAGGTTTCAGTGACAAGCAGTACATGAGTGTTCTGAACATGATGGAGAACATCATGTACTGTTGATTGACGTAGACCATTGGCATTCCAAAGGGAGAGAGAGACTTGAAAGGAGTGGACTGGGTTGTTATTGGGAGTATGACTAGTAGCTATGTTACTCATTAGAGTTCCATAGCAGAGCCATTGCTGTCATGATCTTCCTTTTGACGCTTGAACAAGAATTTAGCCTTTTTGGGCTCCTTCTCGGCAAGACGACCGATAGCTTCAGAGACGGCTATATCTAGCTCTTCTTGAGAGATCCAGCCAGCAGAGACAAAGTATTTGCCAACGCCACTAACGTTGAGTGGACGAAGGAAAGAGAGGGTTTGCAGAGCACGGGTGTTGGTGAATTCATAGATCAATTGCTCACGCTCTTCAATGGCAAGATCAGCATATTTGGGATCAGCAATGTTGTTGGGATCCAAGGGTTGAAAGTTTTCAATGTGATCAGCTTCACATTTGCGCATACAGGCGAGAAACTCCTCTACATATTGGATGTGGAGCAAGATGCCAATGACGCCAGTGGCAGGGAAACAGATGTCTAACACACGGCCAGTATCAATACCAGCTCGGCGAAGTTGGTAACGAACCTCAGAGCGCAGGATTTTACCAGAGCGGCCTAGATACACATACTGGTATCCTTGTTGACCTTTGGTGGTGGCGGTTTGGAACATACGACCTGCAGCAAGACGTCGCTTGGTAGTACGGGCAGGGTCACGATGTTGGGCACCTTTACGGGCAGCAGATGCGTAGCTACCTTGAGTAGCATCGGGTTGGTGAATAGTAACAAGCTCTTGGGTTGGTGTTACCTGAGAGCTGGATTGAGCACCTTGATTGGTGCGGCGGGATGAGAGTTGGCCCTGTAATTTTTCAATTGCAAGGTCCTTGGCCTGTAACTGATTTTTCAATTCTCCATTTTCCTTTTCCAAAAGGTCCAGGCGAGCAAGGAGATTGTCATGTTGCTGTACTCGCTCGGTGAGAGAGACCAGTTGTTGCTGTTGTTGTTGAACAGTTTGGATGAGCTGATTCAAATCCATAGATTGCTGATTATTGTTGAGCATGGCTGAAAATATTCTATCAAACTTTGGAGATTCAATAAAATATGGGGATGTAGCTCAAATGGTAGAGCGCTCGCTTAGCATGCGAGAGGCACTGGGATCGACGCCCAGCTTCTCCACTTTCTTTTTATAAAACTATCTTATATTGTTACACTCCATATTTTTTCTTTTTTTTGATTTCTTCCATTCAATGCTTCATTATTTTTTTTTATTGCAGCCACTGTTACCAGTAAATATCTAACGACCAAATATTTCGTTTATTAATCTGGCTCAACCCGCTTTATCATTTTTGTTTGTATCTTAGCGTATATGTTTAGCAGAGAAAAAAAAATGTATTATCATTTCAGGCTTATAAAAGAAAAAGCTTGTTATAAAAGCTTTACTTGAATAAGATCAGACACAAAGGCTAAAGGTTTACTAATAAAGATGAGAGTAATCCTATTTAGAGGCTGAAGTTCACTTAATAAAATCCAGCGGTACGGCCCTTTGAAAATTGATCATTTACACTATTTTTCGTCATTACTCATCGACATCCTTCTCAACAAGCCCACATAAAACATGTACTAGTCAAACAAAGTACCCTCTACAACTTTTACTACACATACAGCCCACATATATATAATAATTTAAAAACTTTTACTAGCAGCATCTATACAAAATTAGCCATTTTCAAAAAAAAAAAACATAGATTTCTCGACAACCATGCTACCTATGCAAATTTGGTTTGTACCATCGTTATTTTGGCAAAAAAATTGTTATAGGAACATGTTAGTCTCAAGGCTCTAGCATCAATATTTAGAAAATCGATTTTCGATGGTCCAAAAGTTGTGTTGTATTCACACATCTAACTGTTCCTGAATCACAAGATCGTAGATTGAATTCGGTAATAAACTATGCACATATGGAGCATATGTAAATAAACTGTATTGACATGTAAGCGATAACCATGATATTCACATAAGCTAAGTTTCAGTAAGCTATTCTCTATTATATGATGTCAAAAGATAACAGATAAGGAATGTAAGTAATTAATGTTGCCAAGAGCAACTAAAGATATTTAGACCGATCATCTATATCTGAAATAATTACCATTTAGCATGAGGATTGACACAAAAACTTAGCTTGAGAACACCATTCTAGACGGGTGTGTAAGCAATCCATAAATCATACATATAAATAGCAGTAGACATTCACTCTTTCCTCTCCTCTTCATCTGATTTTACGAAAATAAACTTATATCCATTCTCACGTACTTTCAGATTTACAACATTTTTTTACGTGAACCATGGCAACACCAAATAACAACGAGCAACATCATCAACCCACTACTACTGCTGCAGGCGGTAACACTACCACTTCATCCATCCTTTCATCTGAACAACGTTCTGAAAATAAAGACATTACGATGGAGGAGACCCATCAAGATGAATCCCCAACCGCTCCTGTTACGCCTGTGGCTACTGTCACCGATAATACTCCCACTCGGGCATGGATAGAATCTACCACCCCAGAACTGGCTTCCCTAGGGCTCCCATCCCAAGCACTGGTCAAGCGCGCAATGGTTAGAGACTTACCTAAGTTCAAGATCTTGAACGATGATACAAGGGACCCAGATGACGCATTCGTATCCGTAAATCAATATTTCAAGGCATTTGAAAGAACTTTCAGAATGCAGAATGTTGATCTCGAGCTCAACTGGAGAGATAACCTTGCAAATGTCATTGGAATAGACCATACCGATTGGTACTCTGATACTATTGAACAGAATATGGCAATCTCTTACACGCAAGGAAAGGCTATGATCATGGATCACATCGAATCCCCTGCCAAGGCCATCAACATGATGTTTAACAAGTTGGTAAATCTTCGACAAAAGACTGGGGAACCTGCTGCTGACTTCGGCAAGCGTTTCATAAGGGCTGCCCATGCTGCTCAGTGTGCCGATAGTAACTTCATGGCTCGTCTTTACATGAACAACTTGCAACCCTACTTGAATTTGAGTGTTCGCGCATCATTGTCAAGCTATCTCGGCATCTCATTCTTGCATCAATTGAAGTCCTTCCGTCAAGCCGAAGCCTTGATCAGTGGTCTAGAAGTACATGTATCTGAAGATACTTTTGTCGCAAGCATGAGCAAAGGACCCAAAAGAAACCATGAGCCCAAGCTGAAGGGAGGTGAACGTTCTTCTGGCAACAAATCAAATAAAAAATGCTATTACTGTAATCAACCTTGGGAAAAAGGCCATCACTGCTCTGAATTCCACGAAGCAAAGAAAGCCAAGCAAAACCAAGGCCAATCCACTCATCATAAATCAGCAAACAACAATCAAGTAAGAACCATCAAGATGGACCAACTCATGGAAGAGTGGACTAACTTTGACATGAAAAGCAGTAAAGAAGATGAAGCGATTGATAACGCTGCGGAATTTGAGGCTTTATAGACTAAAATTCACGAAAAAAAAGAATAAAAAAAAACAGTAATGACAACTTGATAAAGGTATGTTTTATTATCAAACTGACAGGTGTAAAGTAAACTGAAGTCTCCCTACTGGCAAGATAGATGATCCTTCTTATCACCAAACTCCTAAAATAATACATTTTTGTTAAGCACAAAGAATAAAAGGATTATTATTTGTAGCTTATAAAAAATGTTCGATATTATAAAAACAAGAAAAGACTTATTTGAATAAGATCAGACACAAAAACTAAAGATTTATTGATGAAGACAAGAGTTATTCTATTTATACTAAGTTCTGAATGCCAAAGTAGCAATTTATCTTGTACAACGCTTATCACATCTGGTGAACCTCAGTATTTAGATAGCTGAGATGCACTTCACTTATCATAGCTTGTCCATGTTGTTGCACAACACAGACATATCTACCCATCAAGAATACCTTAATCTTTATAGACAGTTGTAGCCCTTCTGGCACAACAATTTTATTCTGCCGTCACACAGTAAAAAGTTAATTACAAGAGTGCCCGTAGGGAAATCAGCCATTACTGTCAGCTTGGTAGAAGCCTAACAAAATTCTTGGAAAATAAAGCATTTACATAATCCTTTTCTCTTCATATACCCAAGTTTTACCTAACAATCCAAATGCCTCGAAGCTTGAGAAGTCGTTTAAACCGCTCTGATTCTTCGAATACTCCAGCTGAGCCATGTACTGTAAATTTTGTCTTTCACAATTTCCCTAAAACTGCAAATCCTGTTATTCCTGAGCCTATTGAAGGTAAGATTCCAGTAACAACTTTTCCGACCTACATGAGCCCACTTTTGGAATTAGGAGCTACCGTCAACGAAAATTAATATAGAAAGGTGTAAGTGGTGTGGCCGCGCTGGACACCAAAGGCGTTCGCATAAGGATTGTGGAATGAGGATACTTCGAAATACTTCTGACAGAAGAGCAACTTGCCCATGGTGCCGTAGAGAAGGACATACACGCAGAAATCATCTTGACTGTGCGCTAAATCCAATCAATCAGCCATCTGAGCAACGGTCTCCAACACCAGTTGTACAAGACTTTCCAAATGCCTCTCAATCTGAGGCCACAGCTGAAACTCTGGACTCCAATGTCATCGTAACAGCAGTTGTATGTCCCTTTTGTGGAATAGAAGGACACCAACGACGATCTCATTATAATTGTGCCAAAGAGCCTCTACGTGCAGATGCAATAGATTCTTTTTTGATGGCGCGAAATCCTGAAGCACCTGAGGCTAACCGAAATAATTTGGGAGGCATGAATGCTTTGTGCTCAAAATGTGGAGTCTACATGTGGATTGATGAAAGAAAGCAAAGAACAAGAGCTTCTCCAACGTTTCAAATCTGCTGTCAAGATGGCCAGGCAATCTTGAAGCCAGTACACCATTTTCCAGAGCTTATTGTCAATCTTTTGAGTGGCAATGACGATGTTAGCAAAGAGTTCAAATCGAATATTAGAACGTACAATTCTGCTCTCAGCTTTACCTCCATGAATGCAACTTTAGATCAATCAGTTGCGAATAATCAAAATGGTGCCTACGCATTCCGTATTCACGGTAGCGTCTATCATCTCATGAGCTCTGCACTTATGCCAGCAAATGATACACGCCCAAAATTTGCTCCAATATATATATATTCGATGATGGGGAAAATGAGCTCCAAAACCGACTGAATGTTGCTGGAAACCCCAACGTTGAGAGAACCACTATGCGTCTCTTCCAAAATATGATGCACGAAGTCAATCCTTTTGTTGACTTATTTAAAACCATGGAGGAGCTATCAGTTGGGCAACCTGGAGGAATTCAAAATATACGAATGATATTTCGTTCAGAGGATTCTCCTGATCCAAGAAGAAGGTACAATAGACCAAGAGTTCCAGAAACTGGTATACTATTGTTTGATGGCGACAATGAAAGCAGCAACGAACAGCCAAAGAATCGTGATATCGTCTTAAGATTGAAAGGTTCCGGTGATAACCTAACAAGGATTAATGAAACCAATCAATTCTTTGATCCTCTTCAATACGTTTTGATGTTTTTATTTGGCGATCCTGGATGGCACATCAAAGTGAAAAGCTTTGATCCCTCTGAAACCGAAATTGACATTGCATCTGATAGCAATAATAATGATGAGGACAAAACCTTCACCATCATGCAATACTACAGCTCAAGATTGATGGTACGACAAGGACAACAGCAACACTACGGCCCAACTGATATTCTCACAGAACATCGATGCGCTCTTTTGGGAACATCGATGTTCTCATGAGCACATTGATGTTCTCATTTGAGAAGGTGTAGTTTTCCACTGGAATAAAATGGTTTGAATAGCTAAACTATAATATTGTAGGCAACAGAGAGACTTTTATTATCTGTAAGATTCATAAAATTACTAAACGTATTATAAATTGCACGAGAAAATGGCAATTTAAAATTACCTAATAACTACTTATTAAAGTAAAAGAATATATTTCAATAAGATATTCGAGTAATTTAGTAGGAAGAACGTCAGATCCACAACCGATAGGTTGTGGGTTCGACCGCGGTAGGAGCATTCTTTTTTTCAAATTTCTGAAAATCGATGTGCTTATAAAAGAATATGGATGTGCTCACATGGGAACATTTCGGATGTTCTCATAAGAACATCGGCCGACTTATAATAGATCTTTAGGAACGCCGATGTTCCCATATGAGAGCATTTTTCACCTTTCGGGAACATCGATGTGCTCATTTGAGAACATCAAATAGATTCTCATATGAGCACGTCGATGTTCTCATGAGAACATCAGTTGGGCCGTAGTGCAAGGACTACCAAAAAATTAGAAAATTAGCTTGCATTCATTTGGAAGGTTATTTCGCCAATACGTCGTCAATATGTATGCAAAGATGGAACAACAGCAACTGAATCTTATTAGATTCAATCAAGATACCTTACGAGCTGCTGTTTATAGCGGTCTGTTAGATCCAAATACTCCCTGTATGGTGAACGCCAAATGTTCAAAAAATTGCCCGTACTCATTCATGGACGAAACGACTATCAACCCAGAAGAATCAAGAAAAATTATATACAGAAGACGATTGATGGCTGATCGTACAATTTCCAGGCATAGTGGAAGAATTACTATTGATATATAATCGTTGGGTCGTGCCTCATAATCTTTATTTGGTCGCTAAATACAACGCACACATCAACGTGGAGATTTGCAGCCAGGTCAACTCGGTCAAATACATATACAAATATGTATACAAGGGCCATGACAGAGCACAGGTATATATGGGTTCATCCGCTCAAGATGATCACCAGGATGAGATCAAAAAGTTTCTTGATGCAAGATATGTCTCGGCATCTGAAGCCTGTTGGAGAATCATGTCTTTCCCTATGCATAAGGAATACCCCTCTACAGAGCGCCTGTAAATCCATTTGGAGAACGAAAGTTCTGACCAGGTCTTGAGTCGTACACTTCCAGAAACAACCCTGACAGCTTGGTTCAAGTACAATCTCAAAAATCCTGAAGACAACGAAGCTAAGCAAACTTTGTATCCGGACTTCTGTGAAAAGTACGTTTTTCATAAACAACAGAACCCAAGAGTTTGGAGACCTAGACGTTCAGGTTTTGGTGGAGCCATTGGCAGAGTCTACGCTGTATCTCCAAAAGATATTGAAAAGTATCATTTAAGAATCCTATTGTATCGAATTCCAGGAGCAACATCCTTTACCTACATGCAAACGTACAATGGCCGTGTCTATCCGTCTTATCAGGCTACTGCCAGAGTAATGGGTCTTCTACAAGATGACAATGAATGGAATGATACCATGTCAGAAGCAAGCACCACTATGTCACCTCAAAAAATACGGCAACTCTTCTGTATTCTGCTCTCCTTCTGCGATGTCTCTGATCCTTTTCAGCTATAGTTGAATCACAGACTGCATCTAGCCGAGGACTATCTGTATCGTAGGCAACAAAAGGCAAGAGCTCTGAATCAACCTGTTCCCACTGAAATAACAACAGATGAGATGTATGGCCACTGCCTTCTTGATTTGAATCAAATTTTGGTTGCCAACCAATTTGATTTGAAAACTATGGATGGTTTCAAGAACGTTTTCCCTACTGTTGATACCAGGGATAATCATGCTTACCCTGAGGACTCTACCCCGCTGGAAAGGATGCATGCCACTCTGCTAATTGAAGCCTTGGAAGCTCCTGACCCAAACTCTTTGCCATTCAATCCAAGCCAATTGATAGCTTGCAATGCCATTCAACGTTGCGCGTTAGCTGACGAAAACTATGATGCTGCACAGTCCAAACTGTTTTTTATTGACGGGCCTGGCGGTACTGGGGAAACTTTCATCATCAATACTTTGTTAGATGCCGCTCGCAAACAAAATCATATTGCAATTGCAGTTGCTTCAACAGGAACGGCGGCTCTGCTGCTGAAAGGAGGTCGAACTGCCCACACTACCTTTAAAATACCTATCGACACCTCATCTACAACAATGTGTGATTTTACACCATCCTCTGAAATAGCTCAATTCATCAAGAGAGCAAGGCTGGTTATATGGGACGAGTGTTCCATGATTCGAAAAGACTTGATTGAAACTGTAGACAAAACCTTCAAAGACGTGATGAAAAACAGCTTACCTTTTGGTGGCCGCTTGATCGTTTTCGCTGGCGATTTTCGTCAAGTTTTCCCAATCGTCCCAGGTGCAAGCAAGTAGATCAAGCATTGTGTCTCAATGTATCAACCGCTGCTACTTTTGGCCACAAGTTAGAAAATTCAAGCTGGAAACTAACATGCGAGTGCAGCAAGCACTTGAAGACAACAATCAGGATTTAGCCAACCAGATACAACAGTTTTCTAGCTATTTACTACAAATTGGTGAACGAAAAGTTAGAACGGTGACATTACCTAGGGACATTATTCCTTCGGATTTTGTGCGTATCCCAGATGAAATGTATTTCAATTCTACCAACTTGCTGGATTTGCTAGCTGTTGTGTTTCCAAACATCAACAATAGCTCAACGATTGACCATTATTTTGCAAAACGTGTTATATTAACCCCAAAGAACCAAGATGTCTCAGTCATAAACAATCTGCTACTTGACAACTTGCCGGGAAGAAAGTTCACTTATTATTACAGCTATGATCAAGTCTGTGATCCTCAATTTCGAATACAGGTGCCTCTCGAGCTTCTCAACTCCATAGAATCTGGCTCTCTGCCTCCACATGAATTGGTTTTGAGAGTTGGGTCTCCAATAATGATCTTGAGAAACTTAGATCCTTCAGCTGGATTATGCAATGGAACCAGGCTAATCGTGAAATCTTTGGGTGTTAGAATAATTGAAGCCACCGTTGCCACAGGGCCAAAAGCAGGTGACGTTGTGTATATCCCAAGGATCAAGTTTATCACAGAAGCCAACCGAAGAATTCCCTTCGACTTCAGTTGCACCCAGTTTCCTGTGAGATTGGCCTTTGCCATGACTATAAACAAATCATCGCAGGGCCAAACATTATCTAACGTTGGATTATATCCTCCCTCTCACGTCTCCTCGCATGGTCAGTTGTACGTCGCAATGTCAAAGGTCAGTAAGCCATCATCGATAAGAATCATGGTTGATCCTGATATTTCTGTACTGGAAAACGTACCTGGCCACTATACACACAATATAGTATACTCTGAGGTCTTTCAATAAAGTTTTTATATATTTATATCTCAAATTACATCCATTTTTTATTGTCAGGCTGTTAGTCTCATCATTTCTCAACAGATATAAAGCCTTGTTTAATGGTGGAGTAAGCCTGCGGCAGCACGACGTTGTATACACCGCGAAGCGGTGTTGTGCAACTAGTATACTATAACAATGGATAAAAGCTCTATCAGTTAGATTGACAAATAAGTCAACTCAGATCAACTAATGTCTAATCATGCTAAAAGACAACTCCAGCAAGCTAATCATGATTTAGCTCTGTCTGGATGAATAATTAGACTCTCATCCGAAGTACCCTGATCTATCCTTTCTAAAAGGATAATTAATATCGATCTAGTAGCATGTATCCGATAGGTACAGTCTTCTTAGTCTATATTAATAGTACATATCTGAGTGTATATCGCTAAGCATACATCTTTAGCATGTATCTGGATATATGGCATGTCTATAGCATATCGTATGCATGTCTATAGCATGTCTCATATATAGTACAAGTCTGTAGTACATAACGTATCTGTAGCTAGTATCACGGATATAAGCATGTGTCTTATAGCGTGGATCATGAAGTGCACATCTGAAGCAACAAGCTCATATTGCATTAATCTTGGTGCCTATCCAGATATGGTAAACATCCGTAGTCAATGTCGGAATACAAGTATAAGTCTATAGCGCCATCCATGATGTCCATGGTGCCATCTATAGCCTATATCTTATATAGTATGAATCTTATAGTACTAGCGTATCTGAAGTCCATCTCTTCTTATAGTATAAATCGATATCGTACATCTAATCCAGTGTACATACAGTTTATGTCATGAACCAAGCTTCGATCTGGTACCTGGATCTAGAACCATGCAGTCCAAGTGTTATGTCTACGTTATGCTTATGTCATCTCGGTGTTCAGGATTTAGGAGTACTAATTGATAACCATTAGTAATCAATTAGTCATCATTAGTAATCATTATGTCATGCCAAGCTTTATGCAACCTTATCATGTCAAGTATCTATCAACGTCAAGTATCAAGCCAATGTCATAATTATGTAATTATGACTCATGTTTCAGATTACGAATCATTACGTTTATCCACGCTATATCCATGTCTCCGCACTTATGTCCGCACCTCTTGTCAAGTATAAATATCATGTCCTTTTCCCCTCCATCCTTTCCAGTTGTAGATTATCTTGTATATCTTATTCTCTCTTACCTCAAGATAATCGTTTTGTTAAATAAACCCTCTGTTGAAATCAAGTTCTTGACACTTTATATCTAAATCCGGCAACTGGATGAACTGTCGGAATGCAGATCATAGTGGATGTATTCCACAGTCATATTTGAATATGCTTGTTATTGATTTGATTCTTTTTGGATAAAGATACCATCACTTATTACGACCATCATGGGTGTGATTGAATACACTGTGATCAGGAGTGATTCATTCACACGATGTGCGATATAAGCGTGTATCTTTACTTTAGTATTTTTAAATGGTTTTTTTTATGTATATATGAGCGCTTTCATTAACAGATCCAAATAGCATGAATTTGAATGAGTGCTATTTGATGAACTTTGGTTTTCAATTAAGTTGCGTTTGGGTGGCTATTTCATTACAGTATGTGTAGTAAAAGTTGTAGAGGGTACTTTGTTTGACTAGTACATGTTTTATGTGGGCTTGTTGAGAAGGATGTCGATGAGTAATGACGAAAAATAGTGTAAATGATCAATTTTCAAAGGGCCGTACCGCTGGATTTTATTAAGTGAACAACGTGAGCTTAAAGCTTAGTAGCTTCTGTTTATTTTTCAAATTTCTATACGATGGTATTGTTTTTATAGAGAAACGATAAAAGTTTTGAAAATCCTCTGCTTGTAGCTCATAAAATACATGATTTTGAGCAAATTTATGAAGGGAACGTACATCTGGTGCTTAAAACCCTTATATTATAATGGAAATAACGTAGAGCTATCGAATGGTCTTTGTTTTGTGCGAATCCAGTGAGTATTTGTCGAGATATGGTCAAAAAAAGGATATCATGCAAAATCATGGATTTTTGTTCACAATCTACGCGTGATAGCAAGCAAAAAATCTGGTGACGATTTTTTGGTCAGGACAATATTGTCAATATTTTATGATAGATTTATGCCAGAGCTTCGAGCAAAGGCTCATTCAATAGGAAATTTTTTGGTCTACAATGTTTAATAATGCTTAATAAAATGTTTTGATGACAGATACTGGTTAATCTTTAGAAAACAGTCAAAAAGTTGCAAAAACAATCGTACCAAATATCAGGTAAACAATGTACACCAGAGAATTGATATAAATACCATTGTATTCTCCTTTGAATTCTCTACAAGTTTCATATAAGCTTGAAGGGGTGATTACTATCAAGAAACGCGTACTTTTAAGGTCGATAGATTTTGGAATCCCATGGGTCATCATTTAGAACAATAGAAATTGAATCTCCGTTGAGCTTTCGCATGTGTACACGGCACATGTATGAATTTGACCAAGCATTTTAAAAATCAGAGCGTACAAAAGGGCCATATTAACTTGTTGGTTTTAAGTTATCAATAGATACCTGACATGTTGAAGAATCTTGTTGTTAAAACTAGACAACTGTAGCTTGCTTTATTCTTCAGGAATAATAAGATTCCCAATTTAAAGTATGTATATTCCCCCGCTTAAAAATAGCATCTCCAATGTTGATTATCTCATGAAGTATGCATTTCCAATATAATGTTCCCACTAAGAACTTGCTCCAACATCATTATTCTACAACATATTTAAGTTTGACGAGATTCTATTTTTTTTTTTACCTATAAGGACCTGGATGTACAAAATGTTTTTTGATTTTGAGGTTTTCAACTTTTGTGTAATGAAATAGCCACCCAAACGCAACTTAATTGAAAACCAAAGTTCATCAAATAGCACTCATTCAAATTCATGCTATTTGGATCTATTAATGAAAGCGCTCAAATGTACATCAAAAACCCATTTAAAAATACTAAAGTAAAGATACACGCTTATATCGCACATCGTGTGAATGAATCACTCCTGATCACAGTGTATTCAATCACACCCATGATGGTCGTAATAGGTGATGGTATCTTTATCCAAATGGAATTAAATCAATAACAAGCATATTCAAATATGACAACTATGCCCTGCTGCCATAGTTGCACAATATCCCAGATAAAGGATTCCATGCTTCAATAACAAACATCACACTTTAAACCATCAAGGTTACATTAAATCATGCTATGACGATAGCTCACCCAAGCCCATCAAGGTTACTCAAATCGACCCTTATGGCCAGTGCTCTTGCATTGATTACCACTTTAAATCAAACATCAACAACATTTGCCAGATATCGCAATAGCAGAACCTATTGCTCTCTATCATCACTAACCCTACAAGCTAGATGCAAATGTATAAATACTCTTCTTTTTTTTACTCAATTCCAGGATTTTCAGTTCATTTTATACACAAATAAAATACAGTTGATTTCTATTGTATTTTACCTTTGCTTTATTTTTTTTGTGAAATCTATTTAAACCTGATTTCACTGCACATACAGCCCACATATATATAATAATTTAAAAACTTTTACTAGCAGCATCTATACAAAATTAGCCATTTTCAAAAAAAAAATCATATATTTCTCGACAACCATGCTGCCTATGCAAATTCGGTTTGTACCATCGTCATCTTGGCAAAAAATTGGTATAGGAACATGTTAGTCTCAAGGCTCTAGCATCAATATTTAGAAAATCAATTTTCGATCGTCCAAAAGTTGAAAACCTCAAAATCAAAAAATGTAATGCCATTGTGAGCTAAATCTACGGATTTCTGGGCCGTGTAACAATAGGGAATAATTTATATATTATTGTAGGTTGAAATATGTTGTGAGAGCTATTAAAGTATAGGCGTTCATAAATTACTGATCTAGCTTCAAACAAGTTGCGGTAAAACTCAGGTAGCAATACGAGCTTGCGCCGGTAGAGCTTACGACGTGCCTATTCAAAATGTAGTGCAGAGGAAGCCCGTTATCTTTTTCTAATAAAACCGGCCAAAAATAGAATTAAGAGGCAGCATATTAGACTTTAGCTCACATATCCAAAGCACTAAAATATAATGGTGCACTTGACATTCGATTCTTAATGTGAAGGCCTTCATCTTAAAAAGTAGAGCATCCAATGATTTTGTCTTTGCATGAGATATTTCGTTATTGCCAGACAAAAGAATCTTCGTTCATATAGCTTGCCTCAAAAACGATCGTAAAAGTATAAGCTTTAAATTCCAGCCTTAGCCTTAAATCTAGTTATGCTACAGATCTGGCATATATACTTTATAAAAATGCTGACTTCTGTAAAGAAAGAGTACGAGCAAATTATTAAATCATGTTTAAAAAAAAAAGCGATCCCTTGAAATAGTTATAACTCGCTTTGATGAGTTGCTGGGATGACAAACAGGGAAGATCTAATATCCCGTAAGCTGTTTTAACAATATACAATATTATAGTAAAAAGATACTGATTGAATTGTTTTCACAAGAGGTAAAATAATTCATATCCACTACTAATGCAATTATCTATTCAGTTTACTATAATCGTGGAAGCCTGAAGGGAAAGGGTATATGTGCAGAATGTAATACTAGAAGAAGGCTGGTTTCAAATTCAAAACACGGTTTGAATATTCCTCATTAATCGTAGCAATCTCTGATATCTGATCATTGCTGTCTTTTCGGGATAGATCCATCAACCATTTTATATCTTCGTAAACGTCACCATCAGGCAAAGGTTCAAATGATTCTGTTTCCGTTTGAGCATACAGTTCTCGAAGTGTAGCCTTCATCTCCACTAATTTCAAAGTTAAACTCAATGAAGCCTTTGATCCCTTGCAAGTAACTCACATTCAGTGTTTGAGATTGTCAAATCTGATATTTGACATGGTGTAACATTCAACGCTGTAATTGCTGATAAAATGCATGGGTTGCCATGAATGAATGCCGTAGATAATATATCCATATTCAGGCTTACCTGGTGTCCTTTTTCCTGTGGCTAAAGCCATGTGTCGTTTTACTCGCTCAATGACTCTGAAATGAACAGTATTAACACTAAATCTGCTCGTAATATAAACATACTTACGGCTTGGGGAGATTGGTTTGGAGAATATTGGCAAGCATAAATTCCCAATCAAGATCTTTCTTTGGTTCATTAGAATCCTTGTCCATGGGGTTCGCAATGTTCATCAAGACTTGATCTATCAATTTGAGTGAGAGGTTTTTGATCAAGCTTGTATCCTGGTTATCAATTGTGTCCATTTCCTTTTTGTTTTGTGCTGAAGACTTTGAGCAATTCACAAAGTTGACAAGGTCATCCATAATCGATGTATCCAATTTACTTTTTTTCTTGCTGAAATTGTTGAAATCTGTCTTTCGATTCATTTGGGGATCCCATGCTGTGCGTTTAAATTGACGATGCTTTGTAATCCCAACCTTTGCCACTGATTCTTCGCTGGTATCCAGATACAATCTTCTCTTTTTGATGTTTACCCTGCAAGCACTGGCGTTAGCACTGATATAATGCACTCAAGCCTATGCGATTCCACACCTGTTTTGATAGCTTTTGATAGGCCATTCGACTTTCCTATCCGGCTTCGTCTTTAATGTTAAGGTGTCAGCTTTCTGCTTGAAGTAGGATTGGTATTCTTCTTGCTTCTTTTCGATACGTTGATTAACACCAAGGTTCATTGTTAACTTGCGTTTAAATGTAAAGGACCGAAAAACCAAAAATCTTTTCCAGGCTAAAATGTGCTTGACGGCCAACTCTGACTCTACCAATCGTAAGCGAATAGATGGATTAGATAAAAAATTTTCTTCCATGCTTGTCTCGGCCAAGTTTCTTTGATCAAATAGACGGAGATTAAGATTGATTGATTACAATTTATAATACCATATATACAATCATCCAAGGTGAAAAAGATATTTTTCTTAGGTGCCATGGGCCATGTTTGTTATCAGATTTCTTTTCTTTTTTATCTATAATATTTATTATGATGGAAACACTCACACCTATTAAACAAGATACTCCAAACACCACTGCTTCACCTCCTCCTCCGCCTTCCTTGACGAAAAAGGTGGACTCTGTGTCTGCTACAGAATGTGCAAATTGCGGTACTACTACTACGCCTCTGTGGAGAAGAGGTCCCAACGGTGAGACTATCTGTAATGCTTGTGGTCTTTATCTCAAGGCGAGAAACACCTTAAGACCTCCTACACTGAAAAGAACCGTTCATAAGAAGGCTGTGAATTCAGCAGAACAGAAGAGCGATTGTGGTGGAGGTACTTGTCCAGGTGGTGGTCAATGTAATGGCACTGGTGGTTCCACTTCTTGCGCTGGGTGTCCCGCTTTTAATCAGCACCAAGTAAATCGCCAAGCTCTCATTTGTGCAAACTGCAGAACAACAACAACCCCACTATGGAGGCGAGATGAACAAGGCAACACTATCTGTAACGCTTGTGGTCTGTATTATAAGCTTCATAATGTTCATAGACCAGTGAGCATGAAGCGCAGTGTCATCAAGAGAAGAAAAAGAATCATCGTAGCACAAGGTAGTGATGAAGAAGAATTGGATGATGAAGATGATACTCTCTCACAAACATCTTCCATGTCAACATCTCAACCACCCTCTCGACCTCCTCTCCCTGCCTCTTCACTGTCCTATCCCAGTAATCCACCCAACAATGCGCACCAACAACACCGAAAGATGACTCATCCAGTTCCAGAAATCGAGGATTATGTTGTGCTGAAAAAGAAAAAGTTAATGGAGCTACCCAAAAAGAAACAACAGCATTACCTACTATCATCACCCCCAGCGCATCCTACTCCTCTTAGAGCAACCCCTATGTCGCCTCCACCACTGCCATCATCCTCATCTTCTCAACCATACACACATACTCCTGTTACCATCAGCGCCGTTAATGCATCATCCTCTGCACCCACATCCTTATCTGACAAAATCCATCCTCAACAGCAATCATACCACCAACAACACTCACCATCTCCTCAGCCTCCTCCACCTCAGCAACAACAAAACAAGTCTCCCTTGTTCTCAAAACCATATCCAGAGAGTCAATCAACGACAAAGAGCTTTTTGCCTCCGATCTCTTTAGAGCGTCAATCGTATCGACTTGAATCACTGTTTGGTCGTAGAGATTCCGCTTCGTCAGCTACCTCATCTGTCAATACCAATAATACATTACCTCCTCTATCGTTACCACCATTGACTCCTCCCTCATCACAACCTCAACAACAACAACACTCTCATCATCAACCGCAACGTAGTATGTCTCCTATACAAATGTCTCAGCAGCAACCTTCGCCACCACATCAATTACTTCAGCAACAACAGCTTCCGCCTCCACCTCAACAACAACACCATCTTCACCAAAATAATGGTTATGAGTTGGCTGACTTTGATCAAGCACTTGATCGCTTGGAGCATCTGAGAAGACAAGTGAGACCCGAGCAATCGTATGCTCTCTCTCAATTAACTCAATCATTAAGTGATTTGGCCTCGAAAGCAGAAGCAATTTTATCATTAGATTCATTAGCCTATGGTCGATAAGGCAGTTTCTTTTATCCCAGCTTTGATGGTATTAGTAATAATCTTTGCATTTCTCTTTGTAATCTAATAAACGTATACACACTTATAACCCAAAAGCATTTTGAATTGTCTCCATCATGTTAGTTCCAGCGCTGGCAACACAAACTTGCATAGTAATTCAACAGATGGCACCATAGTTCAATCGAAAAAGCGTAATTAGATTTCACAACATTCTGTTTGTATTTTCACGTCATTCAAATCACTCCATGATACTCAATATCTCGATCAAAAACGAACTGATTTAAGCTTGTTCTATTGTAATAAAATCTCTATATTATACTTTGTAGTTTTGTCATATTTTACATTATTTACAACAACATCTTGAGAGGGTTCTCCATGAAGCCCTTGAACGATTGCAACCAAGTAGCACCAACAGCGCCATCAACAACACGATGATCAGCGCTCAAAGTAACTTCCATCACATCACGGACGGCAAAGCCGCTTTTAGTAGTCTCGTCAGCGACAACCTTTTGCTGAGTACCACCGATAGCCAAAATACAAGATTGGGGAGGGTTGATGATGGCAGTAAAGTTGCTGACACCAAACATGCCCAAGTTGGAAATGGTGAAAGAGCCACCTTGGTATTCAGCAGGGGCTAATTTACCATCACGAGCACGCTTGGCCATGTCCTTTACTTGAGAGGAAATGGCAGACAAACCCTTGGTCTCGGCTTGACCGATGATAGGAGTGATCAAACCAGTGGGAGTAGCAACAGCAACACAGATATCAGCAGAGTTGTATTGTCTGATAAAGTCACCCTGCCAGGCAGAGTTGACTTCAGGCACAGCCTTGAGAGCTAAAGCAGAAGCCTTGATCACAAAGTCGTTGACAGAAAGCTTATATTCACCCTTGCTAGATTGGTTCAAGACTTGGCGCAACTTGCTAACCTTGTCCATGTTGACCTCAACAGTCAAGTAATAATGGGGAACAGTTTGCTTGGATTCAGCTAAACGAGAAGCAATGATCTTTCTCATGCTAGTAGTGGGTTGATCATTGAAAGCATCGCCAGAAGCGCCTTGAGGAGCGTAGGCAGCAGGAAGAGGAGCAGCGGCGGGAGTAGCAGGAGCACCTAATACGAAATGAAAGGTCAATCCTACATTTGTCACTACCACAATCTCTTAATAACAACATACTAGTTTCCTTGAAGTTTTCGACGTCAGATTTGACAATGCGACCACCTGGTGCAGAACCCTGAATTTTAGAAATGTCAATGCCTCGTTCGTTTGCAATTAACTATAGAATTGGTTAATATAGTTGATCCACCAGGTATAATTCTTCTCCATATAAACTTACTCTAGCTAAAGGACTTGCCTTGGTACGATCTAAATTCCCAATTGAGCCCAAAACATGAGTCATGTATGCTATATTTTGACATTCATCCATCACTTACCACCAGAAGATTCAGAGGCGGGAGTAGCAGGTGCAGCTTCCTTCTTTTCCTCGGTAGCAGGAGCAGCTTCCTCGGCAGCGGGAGCGGCAGCAGCAGGAGAAGCATCTTCCAAGGTGAAATCCTTGAAGGCCTCAACATCAGACTCATCGTCAACAAAGATGGCGATGGGCTATTTAATTTTGAACTTCATCAATCACTCACCCATGTTACGTGCAACATCAAATCGTTACCTTGCCGACAGGAATGTCTTTATCGCCCTCGTTGACAAAAAGTTTTGCAAGGAAACCTTCTTCCTGACATTCAAAATCCATTTGGGCCTTATCAGTTTCAATTTCTACCAAGACATCTCCGGGGTTGATAGCATCACCAACAGCCTTTTGGAATTTACCAATACCACCAGCGGTCATACTATAATGATAATTTACTTAATGAACCGCATGCTAAAGCAATCATAGCGTGCACTTACGTAGGAGATAAAGCAGGCATAGCAATGACATTGTGAGGAGGGAAACCTATCACATCCATCAATATCATTTCGTCATGTCATTCTTGAGCCGATTACTTACTCTTGGAGCTATAACCTCTGGCTTCCTTATGAGCTTGAGGGATAACAAAGGCACGGAGAGCGCCGAATGATTTGGGGCTATAACGCACGAAAAAGAGCTTTAGAATCGCAAAGCTCTTAAATGTTTTTTTTCGTGATAAGTAGACTTACCTGGTAGTAGTGAAAGCACGGGCAGCGGCTTGACGGGTCAACAATGGAGCAGCTCTGCTAGAAATTCTAGCAGCAGAAGCACGAAGAGCTTTGGTAGATGTTCTCAACAAAGGACGAGACATTTGATGTGAATAAATAAATAAAATATGGAGAAAAGAAGAGAAAAAACGAAAAAATAAACCCTGGCTGGAGAAATCAGGAGTGTACTGAAAAATACGGGCAAATTGGGGCGCTTATTATACCCTCCGCTATATCTGATAGTTTTGATTTGATTAATTTGAAATTAGATTAAGCTGGATTTGACTCCACAAAATTGGAGAAATGTGTGGTCTACTGTTCATTCTCGCATAGAACTCAGGTATCGACGCTGAATTCAGAGAAAATGCCATTTCAATCAACATTTTAGTTGTGAGGTTGAGCATTTCCGAGCATCTAACTGCGTTTTGTAAAATTTTTTAGGTAGGCTCACAACCATTTCATTTTAAAGACCAGAGGTTTGTTATCTTTTTAGATCAAAACTCGATCATCAAAAATATTTTTTGTTGGATGTTCATTGGCCAAGGTGAATGACTTTCCTTGGAACATTCAATGCACGGCCATTGCAGATGCTTATAGTTGGAATTCATAGAGGACGCAAGCCCACGCACTTGCTATCACTCAGTACTTTTGTAACTATAATATGAATAGAAGGCAATCCTTAACCTTGCATACCATCAGAAACACGTAAGAATTACGTCTAATACCCAAATACTTTCAATGCTGAACGGCCTTATTATACAGAGCTCAAATCCATAAATCCGTAATTGCATAAATTCTTTTTTGAAGGATTGTTCTTGAAATAGAATGGAATGCAACGCTCTACAGATGTTAGATACTTTGAGTGAAGCTTGTTTGCTCATCAAGCTCTGTCAGAATAAATCAAACCAATCAAGTCGTTGTTCCTGAACTGAGATTCAATTTCTTGATCTGTCAAAAATTAGTTTTTAGACAATATTTGAACAGCTTCTCGACTATTGAAAAGCAAACGACTAACAACAAATAGAGCACGCATTCTCTTGTACCAATGTAATTAAATTTTTGGTCTTCATACTGTAACACGGCCTAAATATACTTGTTGTCTTATCATTAGACTTGGCTAGAGAAATTATATTGGCGCCATATCATTAAAATTGGGATCATATAATGAACTGCATAATATACTACGAAATGGAATACAATGAAATATGCCAAGGTCGTTTAATAGCAACAAGCTTCAATACTCTCCACACGGGGCCGAAATCTTGCGGTATTTGAAGATGCTTCGTCATCGAGTATCATTATCACAGCGTTTGCTGCTTGGAAAGTATTTTATGAAAACAAAAATGGATCCACAGAGCTAAAAGCAAACTCCCGAAATTTACTCGAGCAGGACGCGAATCACTCACACAGAGATCGTCAACTCTAAAGCCCTTGGTAATCAGCTTTTGGTGTCACTTGAAGCACATGACAGTCATTATTATGGAAGGGGTAAATTGCCATTCCTTTTTTTTTTTCTTCTTTTCTAATTCATTCCCTTGGCCCTTTCCTGTCGTTACCTATTCATACCTGTCTACTAGCAACGTAAAATGTCCGAAATTGCAGATAATATCTTGTCTGTCATTATGGTCATTGCACCTACAGTTGGCTACTTTGATCAAGCAAGTCTCTAGGACATTTGAAGTCGAGATGCGATGTGTTAACTTTTAAAGTATAGTACCGTATCATTGTAAAAAACAAAACTAGCTTGGGCTTCAACTCGGTGACATGTGCTATTCTCTGTTTTGCAAAGTAAGCATAAGGGCTACTGCCTGTTACTTATACATAAAATGACTAAATGTCTCTTCTTTCATCAGCATTTTGAGATTGTTTTTCTGGTAATTTATAGCACCAAGAGCAAAGCAGTAACGCGATCAAAATTGCCTTATTCTAACCATCCTTGTAAAACACAGGCTTGGCAAACGATTCGACAACACATTGCTGTTCCAGTCGATTGCCATGTTGACCGCCATGTTGGCATTACTGCAAATAGTGGTGAAATACAAACCTCATGATTTACCATTTACACCACTTATCCGACATGATTCAGCCTCATCTTACAGTTCTTCCAACTCTTCTCATCATCACGGTGCTGCTATTGAGCAAAGAATCGAGCTAAAATGGTACCAACGTACCTTTTGGGATTGGAATTACTTTATTGATTATGTAAACTGCCTCTTGCTCTTCACCAGTGTTGTTGGCATTCTTTACGTCTTTTTGCACGAGCATGAATGGTTCATTGAGGCTCTTGGATTCTTGAGCTTAGGCATTGAAAGCACGCTGCCGTTGCCTCAATTACTGACCAATTTCAAGAATAGAAGTGTGGATGGATTCAGTTTATTGATCTTGGCTAGTTGGGTAAGAATAATAGCGAGGACTACATGGAGTTTCTTGCAAACAGAGACTAAATTGCAATCTGGATAGTTTTTGGGAGACTCCTTCAAGGCATTCTACTTTTTTTACCAACATTCACCTATCCAATTTGTTGCCTGCGCCATCATTCAACTCACGTTTGATACCATCATTGTATTCCAGTTTATTTTATTCTCTAGCTATGTCAAGAAGCTACTAGGCATTGGACAGCCAATCGCACTAGATCAAGAAGATCAAGAATATGAGCCCATCAATTAAACATCTCAAATAAACAAATGATCATGTCTGCAGTCTGCACGTCCACTATCTTGGATGCAAAGAAGACATACACGTGGTGTCACATTTTGACGTTTTATTCGCCAAAGAGACAAGCTGTTTCAATAAGCGCACGTGTGTACAGCAGCTCTATACAACAGAAAGAATACCGTTTAAAGTAAAATTTTCGTCAAAAATTTATACACAACCAAGGCATTGGGTGCTAAGTTTATTTGTATTTGCAGGAAAAAAAAAACTGGACTACGTTTTTTCCAGCATTTCTTGTATAAAAATTAGTTTCTCGTTTAATTCCTGTTCTTTCTTTTCTTCTTTCATTGAAATTTCGAAATGAAGGCAAATCATTGGTATTTGCCTTGTCTGATCATTGGAGGAGCAACGTCATGGCTCAACAATGTTGCTGCAATGGAACCACAGCAGCAGCAAGTGTTTATGCATCAACAACATCCTAGCGCCGATATTCCACTCCATGGACGCTATCTTCACATTACTGATATCCATGTAAGAAAGGGTCGCCTCAGTGAGATTTGGTTATGAACTAATGTTTCGTATAAAGATGGACAAGCACTATTTAGCAGGTGCAACTATAAAATCGGACTGTCACCGAGAACCTAAAAAACATAAACATAGAAAGAAGAAGCAAGGTCTGTTGGCTGGATACTGGGGTGCTCCTGGCATGGATTGCGATTCTCCACAGAGACTGGTCTATCACTCCATCGATTTCATTGCAAGAGAATGGAAGAACAAGATCGATTTCATCATTTGGACAGGCGATAATGCTAGGTAAATGCTATGGATCCATAGTGGTTTTTGTTGCTGCTGTGTGTATTTATTTGTTTGTATATACAATCAGACATGATGGCGATGCCTTGGTAACTAGAACCAAAAAGGAAATTGTTGGCTACAATGTAAAGGTAGCTGATCTTTTGAGAAGTGCATTTACGCTAGACAATAATCGCACACTGCCCATTGTTCCTTGCATTGGTACTGTGTTACACGTAATCGTAGTGTTTGTAGTATTATGCTCACTCATTCCTCTTAGGTAACAATGACATTCATCCTCACAACGAACTCAGAGGCATGAAGAACAATCCACAACTATTAGAATTCAGTGACATGTGGAAGGACTTCATACCGGAAAATCAGCAAAAAGCATTCAAAAGAGGAGGCTATTTCGCTGTAGATGTTGTACCAGGATTACGAGTACTTTCATTGAACTCGCTATACTTTTTCGGCTCCAATGACGTTGTGAACAGCTGCAGTGATGTCAATGGACCTGGTGCTCGCCATGTCAAATGGATGCGTTCTCAGCTAAAGAAGGCTCGTAGAGATAACGTGAAGGTCATCATCATTGGTCATGTGCCTCCAACCGTCAAGACATTTAAGGATAGCTGCTTGGATGACTACATCAAACTGTCCACCAAATTTAAAGACGTGATTACTGGTCACATGTATGGCCATTCCAACATGGATCACTTCCAAGTGCTTAGCAGAGGATCCGGAAACTTGGCTCGTATTGGATCAACAAACGGCGACGAAGAGGATGATGAAGATGACATGATGCAAATCCAAAAGGATGCTGGTAGATTCATCTCGACACTTCGCAAGCAGTACAAGAAAATCAAGAAATACCGAGGTACCCAAGATTTGGTGGTTGTCCATGTTGCGCCACCTATGCTGCCACTCTTCTATCCGACATTTCGTATCAATGAGTATCAGGTGGATCATTCAACAGATCAATTTGGACAATGGCTCAAATACACACAATATTTCACCAACTTGACTTACTGGAACGAGCAAAGGCATCCCATCACCCGGAAGCATTTGGCGCCAGAGTTTGAAATTGAGTATTCGACAGATGCGACATACAATATGACAGATCTGACAGCTGAGAGCTGGCTCAATTTTGCTCAGCATATCAGCTCAAAGCGGGGTAAATCGCTTTGGAAAACATACCTTGGCAACATGTTTGTAAAGACAAACAATGACTGGTATGGCCAGTAAAGTAAAAATAAACTATAGATGTCCAAATGTTAAACTGTATCCATGCTTGATACAGCGAGATATCAGCTGTTTACTGTGTGTGTGTGTGTGTGTGTGTGTGTGTGTGTGTGTGTGTGTGTGTGTGTGTGATGTGCAGGTTTCAAATCCACCAAATGAGACATTGCAAGCAAAATGAAGAAGCATTGATGGCTGCTCCCGTCAGGAACATGATTGGTGGGTTGGTATCTCAAACATTTGTATTGGGATGAAGAACAATAAACTTTTTTCTTCCTCTCTCTCTTTCTTCTTTTTTTCATTTCATTCAACAATTATGGGCTGTTGTCAATCAAAATCAAACGGCTTTTCACATGAACAAGATGCGATTCCTCAAAATCCAATCCACAACAATATAAATCGACAAAACGGTAGGCATTGAAATCATGTAAGATGCACATCATGAATCTAACCAATGAGACAAAGTGCCACCCATTATCATCACAAAGGCACATTCAATTGCTTCTGTGGATTCATCGCTGCCACAGTCAACTTCTGTCGGTGCAGTTGCTTCAGATACCAAGAAGTCGGTGCCATTGGAACATAATGCCATTCAAAATGGGTCAGCAGCAGATGCCGAGAACATGTCAGAAAAGCCTTCAGTGATCATTGAGGAGAGAACGCAAGTACATGACTATGGAGTGCCACCCGATTTGAGAGAACACAACAACGAGCAAGCCACGATCAGACAAGTAAAGCCAATCGTAATTAATTCACCCCAGAGCATGAGTGAGCCGACCATTGTGCCAGCTTCAGACATCCCACAAGCCAAGGCAGCAGCAGTGGAGGCAGGTATTTTAGCACCTTCCTCAAACGAATCCACGCCACTGGAGCCAAGCACGAGTACAGCGGCATGGTCCATTCTCATCCGACGCAACTCATCTTCTTTCAAAGATACTGCTATTGAGATCCCTACAGTAGAACCTTTTATGACAGTATCTGATGTAAAACGTAAAATCCATGTGGAACCCGGACAACAAATCAAATTGATACATCTGGGAAAGATATTGAAAGACAATGCAACACTTGTGCCTTCATTTTGCTCGAAATCACTGTTGAAGCAGAATGCTGTTAGAGTAGCCAACCATGGAGTGATTCAAGCCATGGTCTACACAAAATAAAAATTACCCGATGTTCGTGCTCATGTACTATCTAGCTACAATTCTTATCTGTAATAAAAGCCTCAACCTGTAATTGGTATTGTCCTTGCAAACAAGTGAAAACAGGGTCAATCAGCCCCTCCCCTTTTAAACAAAGACGAACCGCTTTGGAACACCTTACCCATGAAATCAATAGAGTCAGTATAGGATGCAGCACATGTCATGTACAGGATCCACATTAGACATGTCAAGCCGTATACAAAAAAAAGTTGCATGAATAATTTGATGTTAGACGATGGCATAAAATGTAATTGATAAAGTGTATATATTTATTAAAAGTGTCTATTTTTGCTATAAATCACTAGATTAGTAGGGTAATACAAAGTTATTGGCAGCAACTGCTTCAGGTTGAGATGAAGCAGCAGTAGTGGCAGCGGTGTTGGGTGCTTCAGGAGTGGAAGAAGGTTCGTTAGCGGCAGCGACGGTAGTGGTAGTAGCGGCGGCTTGCTCAGTAGTGGTAGTAGTGGGAGTAGCTTGCTCAACTTGAGTAGTGGTGGCAGTGTCAATGATGGTAGTAGAAGTAGCAGTAGCAGAGGAAGAAGCGACAGATGAAGTGGCATTAGCAGCACCAGGCATGCCCTTTAAAGCCAAATCAAGAGCTTGTGCAGTAGCAGCAGTATCTCTATCGACAACAGGGACATTCTTTTGCTCGTAGTACATACCACCATGGAATCCTTCTCCAACAACAACAGTGACATTTTGGAAAAGATCAACCTTTCTAGCATCACCCTGCAATTGGAGGAATGAAATAGCGTTCAAGAGTTGCACCTTTAAGATCAACTCATTCACATTGGTAGCAGTACCCTTGGGAGGAACAGTGACAGGAGGTTCAATAGCACCAGACAGTGTACCCAATTGCAAGTATTTACCATCTTTGCTAGTGAAGAAGACATTACAGTTGACGCCAGCAACAGTGTAAGGAGTATCAAGAGGATTGTAGAACTTGACCCAAATATGAGGAGTCAAGCCGACCATCTTCATTTGGTTTTCAACCACAAGAGAGGCAGGAATACCTTGCATGTTGGTCTTGAGAGCAACTTGAGCGAGACCAGGTTGAAGAGGAATAATCTTGGTAGAGGCAGCCGAGCCCTTGACAGTCAAAGGAGTTACTTGGTTGGTCAAGTAGTTGGTGAGCATCTTGGAGAGAGACAAAAGATCGGTAGAGGTCATCTTCATGCTAGCAGGCATCTCGTTTCTACCAGGCTTGATCACAGTGTTTGTCAAGGTCACAACACCCACCTTGGAACCAGAGGCATCCATAATGACATCGAAGTTGAGGTCACCAGCAGTGATGGTAATTTGAGAGGGATTGTTGAGAGCAATGACAAGATCAACAGCAATGTAGGTAGCAGTGCCACCAACTACCTTGAGGGAGACAATTTCAGTGGTGCCGCCGAAACTAGCAAAGCCTGTATAGTATAAATCATGAGTATTCTATCCATCAAATGACAATAAAGTAGTACTTACCAGCCAAAGAGGTTTGAACATCAAAGTTGATGTTACCCAATTTGAGATCACCAACAGCAGTTTGAGCGACAGAGTTGACGACACCCTTGAGGCCGAAAGGAACAACAGGAGCCAACGTAAGGCCAGCAACAAACTTGGTGAAGAGAGCCTCAGAGCCAGAGTAAACCTTGAAGGGAATACCATTAAAGGCAGTGTGAACAATACCATCAGCAGAGGTAGTAGCAGGAGATTCTGGGACTTCCAAGTTGGCAACATTGTGACCTTCAGAGTTAGCATCTACCTTCATGTTGAGAGACTTGACACCAAGAGGGAAGCCAAAGGGATTCTTGAGTTGAGCCTCGACATTTTGAGAGCTGGTAGGAGGAGCAAAGGGATTCTTTGTGAAATCGATTTGCATATCCTTCATGGTAACAGCAGTGATCAAGTTGGGCTTGGCAGGAGGACCAGGGAGGACGACATTATCAATCTTGATGGTCTTGAAAGCAGCAGAGAGCCATTGGACCACACCGTTGGGGCCAGATGCAGAAACGCCCTTAACAGACAAGGTAGAGCTATTGGCATTCAAGAAGTTTTCAAAGACTTCAGTAACAGCAGCAATACCCTCGGCAGAATCTTGATGGACAAGGCGACCCTTCATGGCCAAATTGGCAGTACCTTGAGCAGGGAACACGGCGTTTCCAGCGGAACCAAGAGGACCAAGGTCAACACCCTTGTAGTAAGACTCAAATCCAACACCTTCAAAGTTGAAGCCAACTTGAGAGGGATTGTTAATGGTGGTTTGAGCAGTGAGAGTGATACCACCAGCAGGGTCATTGGAAGGAAGATCAAAGGCAGTAATCTTGACAGCATCCTTGAAACCATTGGCACCAGCAAGTGTAACGAATTTCTCCATGGAGATCTTGCTGAAGGTAAAACCCAAAGCATTGACGCTGACATCCGTACTGTAAATGTCCCAGACGAAATCCTTGTTATTGATCATGTAGGCAGCGAATTCAGACATGGCATTGGTATCAGTAATAGTGAAATCACCACTGACATCGAAAGAGGCACCCACATCAGCCTTGGCTTCAAGAGCGGGCATGGTGACAACACCAAGCTTCTTACCACCCCAAGAAACAGTCAATGGAGTGGGGAAACTGATAGTAGCAGCCATGGGGCCAGTCTTGGCAATAGAACCCTTCATTTGGACCTTGAAGCTACCTTCAGTAGGAGAAGACATGATGATGGAGTCAAAGCCAAGGACAGAGCCGTCCACAATCTGTTGGACGATGGGTTGACCAACGATGGGGATGAGACCAGTAACCGTGTTATCAGTGGCAGTTTGGACACCACCTTGAGAGAAGCTGAGGGTGTTGATATACTGGCCGATGGCTAAATCAGAGGCAAGAGACAAATCAACCTTCAAGCTCTTCATGGCATCCATAACAAAGGTAGAGATGTTGAAGCCATTGAACAAGCTAGAGTCAGCAGCCACGTTTTCTTGGCCTTCAATGTTGAAACCACCCAGAGTGAGCAAAGCATCCAGAGGGCGAGTGTCCAGTTGAGATGTTACAGCAAGAGAACGGAGCAAGAGAGCAACAACAGCAGGTTCAGTATTCATCTTCATGTCGAGTTCACCGGATTGAACAGTGGCCTTGCCAGGGATGACAATGGGGTTGCTGCTGATATCTTGGTCGATGTTACCAACGGGCATGCCATTGTAGGTAACAGCAGAGACAACCTTGGTGATGGACATGCCAGCAGAGAAGGGATTGGCAATGGAAACCTTGACACCGACAACGCCATCAGAAAGAGTGGTAGGACGGACAGTCAAAGCAGAGCCTTGAATCAAAGCAACCTTGAGACCGGGCAAAGTAGAAGCAAGAGACACTTGGGACAGAGCGCCGATAAGAGAAGCAATGGGAGTGGAGTCGTTGGTACCGCCAATTTGAACGCCATTGTCTTGACCCATCACAAAGGTGCTCAACAAGTTTTGTCCAACATCAGAAGACTTGGGGTCAAACTTGGCAGCAGCCAGGAGAGTATTGACACCACGGTTTAAGGTCAAGTTGGACAAGGTAACAGTACCCAAGTTGGTATCGTCAGCCAACATGGCAAAGGTCACATCACCAGTGGCAATGCTGAAATCAGAGGGGTTCTCCATCGTAACGTTGATGCCCAACTCAAGATGGTCGCTTTGGCCGCCAGTAACATCAAGCGAGTTGATAACAGTAGCAGTAGAGTTCAAGAATTGGAGACCGTGAAGCTCAGTAGGAAGCTCAAAATTGATGCCAGAGAGAACAAGAGGACCGATAGTCGTGTTGACCTTGGTAGTAGCATTACCAGCAACCAAGAAGGTGTAGTTGTTGCTAGCAGTCAAGGCGTAAGTATACTCGTTATAAACGGATTCTTTACCAGCGATACCAGCAAGGTTGGTGTTATCAATAGCAAACTGGAGCTTGCCAGACTTTTGGTCACTGGTAGAGGGAACATAAGGGACATTCATGACAGCAAAGCTCTCGAAACCAGTGGTCTTGTTGAGACCAAGAGTGATGTTTTGGGTTACTTCAGTAATGTTCAAATCAAAGCCAAATGGAATGGTGAAACCAGCAGTTACAACAGGAGCCTTTACGCTAGGAGTGTAAGGAGCATCCTTATTAAAGTTGAGATCCAAGTAGCCCATGGAGACAGAGTTCATGATCTTCAAGGGCTTGTCAGCAGCCAGAGCAACGTTGAGAGTAACAGACTTGAGACCTTCCGAAAGCCAGGTAATAGGGTTCTTTCCATCAGGAGCAGCAGACACACCAACAGCAGTGGTATTGGAGACCTTGCCAGCAATGTAGTTGGAGAAGAGTGTGCTGACCTTGGCTTGCGCAGCAGGGTCGTTTGCTTGAGACTTCATGATACCAGAAAGTAAGATGTTGTTGTCGCCCTTTTGCAATGTCACATTATCAGCGTGGACAAGACCAAGATCGATGCCATCGTAACCAATGTTCATCTCAATGTGGCCTAGTTGAACACCAATAGGAGAAGGACTGGTCAAGACAGTGCCGAGTTCAATCAAAATACCACCGTTCATAGCATCACCAGGAAGTTGGAAAGAGTTGATTCTGACTTGAGGAAAACCGTTCATGCCTTCCAGCGTAATGTCCTTGTTTAGTGTGACCTCAGCAGTTCTGTAAAAATGAAGTTGTATGAGATGATGAACGCCATAGCGAAATGAAAACAACATACCTTGTTAAAGCAGTAATCTTTGCTTTACCATTCAATGTCCAAGTAAACTTCTCAGCAGCCAACATGTAACGAGAGAATTCAGAGAAAGCAGCAACATTTGTAATCATAAAAGGGGTGACAGTGTCGATGGAACCATGTCCGCCTCCAATGTGGGTATCAGGAAGAGTAATTGTACCGAGTACAGTGTTATTGTAAATGACTTCAATGTTATCATCAAACTGAATATCAGCACTGAAGGGGCCAGTCTTTTTGAGGTCAGTCACCATATGCATATAGAAGGTGGAATTAGGATCAGCGCCAGCGACAGGTTGAAGGTTAGAGTCAGCAGGAGGTTGGAAGCTAATTTGAGCGGTATTGACCTCGATTTCAGAGTGGTTCAAGGTGGATTGAGCGATTTTAGGGAAGGCGACAAAGAGGATTAAAAGAACAACAACGACAACGAGAATGACTGTGATGATGGAGCAAATAATCCAGTACTTCTTGTTCTTATAAAAGGGCTTCTTTACAGGAGCAGCAGGCTTTTCAGAGTATTCTTCAAAACCGTCATCTGCGTATTGTTGCTGATGATGTTCAGTAGTAGTAGTAGTAGTCGTTAAATATTCTTGATGGAGATGCTGAGGCTGTTCAGCACCTTGGACAGCGAATGCTTCGTGTCCTTCATTAATGCTTCCAGGCATTATATGTGTGTGTGTGTGTATAGTATACGTTTATATAAGTATTAAAGAAAGGAGTTATATAAAGGTATAATTATATGTAAAAAAAAAAAAAGGATTGTAGTCAACAGACAGAGACGAATGTAATGTATTCTGACTGATATGTAATGGATATGAGGAACAATGAATGTGGTAAAGGATGCCAATGTTAACATTTGCTCTCTCGCTTTATATACCACATTTATGGATCCGACACAGCAGTAATACAAGCAGACCCAAAGCAGAACCTCTCCACAATCCCTTAATAAACAGAAAGGTTGCTCAAAGTTCAATAGGGGAATACAAGATGGCCATCACCAATAACTGTAAAAAGCGAGCGAGTTGCATTTTTTCTCATGTGAATTACCCACACAAAAAACTATTCACTTTGCTTCTTTTTTGGATTTGATGTGTATGTGTGTGTGAGGTATGTTGTGTATTGTGAATACATTTGTCAACTGAATATGGTAAGCAAGTAAAACAACAGGCAAGTTTGACATGTTGGTCTAAATAATCGTAATTTTTACCATATTTTATTAGCGTGAAAATCTTATTTTGGGATTTGAAATATGAGCTAAATAGCGGTATCTTTTACCTTCCAGTAAATGGAGCTAATAGCTATATCGAATCTTATCAGACTTTCCAAAAAAAAAAAAAAATAGCCTTGACAAAAAACAATCAAAAAAACCAGTTACACGACTTAAGGTTTTGTGCACAGTTTGTCCATGTATCACCACCATGGAATATATATATATATATAAATTACGTTTTTTTCTTTGTCAATCTGTACCCTAGACTGATTCCAAGATAAACACATGCTGAGGAGATGCTAGATAGATACTAGATAGATAGTAGTAGATAGTTGGAGACATTGCATAAAAACCATTGTACCTGTTCCTGGATCAGAAATTGATTTACAGAGCAAAGTCCGCCATATAAACGACATTTCATAAATAAGCATCCAACTCGGGTTTGATTTCTGAAATAGACAATATGCTTGAATAAAAATAAACCCGAGTATTGCTGTGTAGTGTAGGAGAACACAAGAGTGTTCCGCGATGATAAAAACACAAGCTGATATTCATACTGCCTATCATGGTATATCATATGATGGCTGTGGATTCAATTGATGTAATATGTAGCGCCACTATCTGCAGGCTGTATAGCAAGATGGGATTATTCATCAATAGCAGCATTGCGCTTAGCAGGAAACCGCTCAATGCGTACTTTTAAAGCTTGATCCTTTTTCAATTCAAGTAAATGGCAATTGCAGTAACACCTACATCTCAGTCTATACAGCGGCATCAAGAACTGTGTAATAACACGGCAGTTCGTTGCCATTGTATGCCATGCCATTTTATAAATCAGCTCACCATTTACTGTTTGCCCGCTTCTTTTCATTCCAAAACACAGACTCTAGATCGGGACCAATGGTAGCATAGGTATCATAAGCTTGGATTCCATCTCAAAATCAAGCACACACTCGATTAAGTAATTGTCTTCGTGGAGATGAATTTATGATAAAAAGTTGTCTTTCCATTAGCGCACTTTTATCGTGTTACTCTTCTGATTTGCATAATTTAAAATTTTGCAATGGTATAGAAAAGCTTTTATTTGCCTTGCTCATTACAATCTACGATCAAACATCTACACATGTAAACACTCTTTAGCTTGTTCATCTGTTTTAAGACGTTGCTCGTAACCATAACATTGGATTGTCAATCTATCACCTTGTTTTGAACATTTTGTCCCTGGGAAAATCCAATAAATTCATGAAAATACCGGGGATCAAACTCGAATCATTTTGTTTGTGTATCATGCATCCTTAAATCGGGGATTCCTATTGTTTTGTGTAAGACACACTTCTTTATTACTCCAGTTTGCGGGTGCTTAACTTTATCATGGCATTAGTAAGAAAACAAGTTGTCTATTGGTACCCGCCTTTATTGAAAATATTCATGAGAATTGCACACGCTATTGCTGTGCTGAGCTGTGAAGGGGGCTTCTCAGCTTGTTGTTATATTCATCTGTTGTACGGTAGATATAGAGGCATAAGATTGATGGAATATACAATTGCAATTCTCAACCTAAATTCAGGCCTTACATTGTGATCTAGTAGTTCAATTGCACTTGTATACATCTGAATTGCAATTCTTGAATATGCGTCCATGTTGAGTTGCTTCTAATCAGAGGCTTAATTGAGAAAAAAAAATGGAAAAGGCTGACGTTCAATGAAATCATCATCGAAATGAGTATTATCTGACACTGAATCTCTAGTTATCGCTAATAAAGAGCAGTGTATTCTAGGCAACATACGTAGCAATTGCCTTTTACTCGGGGTACACTGATAACAACTTGAAACTTCTTTTTTGAAAGCAAATGTCATACAAAAGAGCGTATATTCACTAATGGTGTATAAATAGCAATTTCTTCGTACAAAAGTCTTCCTCAGATAGTGTGCCAATAGTGATAGTATTGAAATCAATCTGTAAGCTAGTGATTGTAAGCTGAATATGTAATTGATCCAATCTTTATGGCAACGATCTGTAGGTCATTAGCTATCTGAAATGTCTGTTCCATCAGGCCAGTTTTACTCTTTCGTTAGTATAATAAACAGGATGGATACATTCAAATGTGCAACAATCTATCCGCGATGTTGACAGTTTGGGTATACTAGGCTTTACTGTTTTATACTTGAATTATACAGTAGTACTGCCGAATAAGCTCCTTTTGGGAACTATCAAGTACAAAATTGTATTAGTGACAAAATAACGCATGGGCCTTTTTGATGTATGATTGAATACAACTGTAACCTGACCTTGGGAGCGGTTCTATATGATCCTGGAAAAAAATATATATACACATGTACTTTTTGGTATATATCAGTGCTCCTGTGAAGTATTCAGTCTGTTGCTCTTCTACTTGGTTTAGAAGTTTGAGAGAGAGAGAGGAAGGGAGAGAGAGAAACTTTAATAATTTGATCCAATTTCAAGTGGCACACACTTGTGATGAGCTTTCACAATTTACTCTTCTTGGAACATTCAAGACAGATCCTTTTTCATCTCTATATGTATTCGTAATAGTTATAATCACACTTTAAGAAAAACACACAAATACTCCATTACAGCTATATTTTTTTAATAAACTAGAATTATTTACTGTATGCTACAGTTCGCGCACTTCAAGTAGCAAGCAGATTTGAATATACTGGACAGCGGCGTATTTCACTTTTGGCTTCACATTTGGGAGATATATCTGTGAGCTTTTGGAGCTTCCAGGTAATAGAGTTTACAACAAAAGGTAAATACAGTTTTGAGGCTAAGCTACAGAACTTTAAACGTTGTATTATGAGCTTTCATATACAAAAATGCATTCTATCGCCTGCCACCAATCAGCAGCCCAAATAGATTGAAACTCAAATTCAGCTCCACTCTAGATTGGCCAAAATCTGTACATCTTCGACTCGATTGAACTATTTTGGGAGATTCGACTATATAAACTGTGATAATCATACCATGTTTCCTAATACACCTTTCTTTCGTCTAAATTGTTTTTAGGGCCTTTCAAACCCCGAAAACAACACTATTAACGCGATAAAACAAATAATAACAACAGAAGTAAATAAAGTGAAAATCCCAACAAATCCAAGCAGTAAAACACCCACTCCTCCATCCAAGCCAGTCTCTACAACCACTAAGAATCGCCTTACAACGTCTACCATCCCGTCTGTCTCTACTAAACGTCGACTCTCCACGTTAGCTAGACAAACACTTACCCCTCTTCCCTCATCTGTTAGCCTTCGTCCCAAGTTAACAGCTACAACCCGACTCACCCGTTCCATCACCAAAGCCATGGCCGAGAACACCCTACCACCTGCTGCCAACGCTATTCCTCCCGTAGCCGTGCCCAACGTAGCTTCAACCACGACGATCCCTGCTCAGCCTTCCCCTCTTTCACTGAGTGACCTCAACATTCACTCCGTCCCCAATCTCCCTGACTATCTCAAGGACATTTACGCCCGCCTCGATAGTCAAGCATCCCAAATCTCTGAGATGCAAGCTCTCATCCAGGAGAACATGGTCCTTCGTTCCTCCTTGGATCTCACCAAAAAACAATTAGAGGATGCTCAGCAACGGATTCGTCAACTTGAATCACAGCAAGCTCCGCAGACCTTCCCTGCCCCTGAATCGACTGCTGCCTCACCTCCTTCAACTACTGTGGCCCAACCTTCTTTTGCCGACGTCGCCAAGAAACAAGCGGACCCTGCTGCCGTCAAACGTCCCAAAGCTAAAACCATACCTCGAAAGAGGCTTCAACCTCTCAACCTTAATGTTAACGATGCCGGTCTTGCTGCTGCTCGTCAATTTTCGGTCGTGTCACCCAACCATGGTTACCGATTTGTCTACATTCCCAACCGTAGCCCTTCGCCCATTAGCCAAATGAGGGATAACTTCCATGCTATGGGCATCCACAACAAGCGGATCTTGGATATCCATTTCCCCGACCGTCATGTTTGTGGCCTTCTCGTCCACATAGACTACATCCCATCCTTGGAAGCCCAATTGACCAAGTACGAGTTGGCACCTATCCAGTTCGATCCCATGGACACCACCACGTTGCGTGACCCCAAGTATACCGACTCTGATCCTACTTTCCTAGCTGCCGAATGTCGCCGCCTTTTCCTTGCTCGATTGAAGGTCATCATCGGGCGTTTGAAGGATCCGCACCACCAACTGGCAGTGGCCCGCTTCTTCTGCTTTAAGCAACACTTCATTCCTGAAGACGAGTATGCCCAACTAGCTAAGTCCATCAAACCAACTTATGTTCCAGCTTACAAGCGTCAACAAACGACTACTACACCCACCGCCGCTGAACAAGACCTCACCATGGGCGAGGCAAACATCACTAACACCACCACTATCCGAGCTGACGAGACTTCAGCCCCCGTGGCCTAATTAGTAACTATATGAATCCCCACCCTTATG